AAGTTGAGACCTGTATAAGGCGGGCACTTTCTCTTCTCCGGTGGTGGTTTGTACTCCAACGGCGGCCGTGGCTCAAAGAGCTTCAAGAGATTGTTTGTTAAGCCAGTAGGGTGGCTTTGACCCATCTACAAAATACATAAAGATACAATGGTAATATCAACTTTAAAGCAACAAGAAATCTTCCATGAACAAGCCTTAAATCAATCAAAACCCTAAAACAAGCTCAAGAATCAAATCATATGACCTAAAATCCGAATCTCAATTCAATTTAAAACGCAATCGAATATAGAACCGAAGCAAGTATCAAACGAATTGAGTATTCAATTGAAGAAGTAGAACCATTAGCTAGAACCTAATAGACAACGAAAACTAAAATCTAGAGAGTAATCACGAATTCAACGAATTGTGAGAGAAGAGACGAACCAGCTTAAGCTGAAGAACATTGGCTCTGTTCTGAACTTTAGCGCGAGCCTGAACGGCGGCGTTAGGGTTACGCATGAAAGGATCGCCGGAGTCTCCCATGGCGACAAAGAGATCTCGGAGCTCTGCTAGGGTTTTTCGTGAAGGAAGCGGATGGAGGATTTTGCGGAGAGATGAAAAAGTAACAAAACCCAAATTAAATCTCAAACCGGATTCCGATTTATTAAGAAAACCGAGTTGAGTGAGATCCAATAGATCACGATACGTTAAAACGTTGCCGTGTTGGTTGGTGCAACCCACTTACTGAACAAGAGGGTTATATCAGCTTCGATTGGGCCGGTCCTAAACAAAGTCCAAACATGGGCTTTGACTGTCAAATTTTTCTAAAATCCATCAACAAAAATAGATTATAATTTTATTTATTTTTACAATAATATGCTCTAATTTCTTAAATCTTTTTATAATAACCTTAGGAAAAAAATTAAGCATTTCGAAATGAACATCACTTTCATAGGAATTGGCTCTCCATCCAATGCCTTTGTTAAGTATGATGGAACCGAGGTTTGAGATCTATTGAACTTGACAGGCACACTTTTTACCATTGGTCTCACTAAGAAAAATTAGGTGGTTGCGTCTCCACTTGTGCACCAGAAGCGAGAATGGATAAAAAAAGGTTGCAATGGTTAAATATGCTGCAGAAAGAAAGCCTTATGTGATCGGACATGTAACTGGTCTCAATATAGAAAGTGATAGTACAAACACAACACTAGGACTCTAGGAGGGTGAAAAGTGGCATTTTTAACGGACGAGTTTGACAGAACCCGTTGTCAATTCGACAGTCCAGCTACAATGGTCAATTCGAACTGTGAATCTCTCATCTGTCGGGTGCTCATGAGATCACTGTTGCAAGTGCCATAATATGACGGATTATGAGTATGAGATTGGATATTCAACTCGTGCATGTTCCAGTGGTTACAACGGTAACCCATATCTTTTAGGTGGATGCAAAGGTGAGAAACTGACTCGTTTTGTTTTCTTGTATCGTGGAAAAACTTTGTTTATTATAATTATGTGGTTTTTCATCTACAGATCATATCGACGAGTGTCGAATGTTCAACAATAATTGACGTCCTAAATATTGTGGTAGAGGTAGCACGTGTATTAAGTATTAACACTATAGAATTAAGTGTGTGATTTCTCATTAATTTGTCGCGAAAGAGAAAACAAATAGCCGATGTTTGGATGAGCTCAACGAGCTGATAAATGGAAGAATCAATGAGGATTATAGATGCAGATGATATATGAAGATGATGTTGAATCGAAGAATCATTGACGAAATTTGAGGATAAGATAAAGAAGATGGATTTTCTGTTATTCACTTTTCCGAGAAAATCAATGAGAAAAAGCTTAAGAGCTCTGATACCATATTAACACTTTATATGCAATAAATAAGCAAAACATAAGATATTTTAAAGCAAAATTAATACATTTTCTTGAATCGCAATTTTGACGATGCTTTCTAGTGCTTTCCAAAACTAGAATCGTATTGTCGATGAAACTTTCGGGCAACACATGAACATAAATATAATGACCATCATAGATATCTCATATAACTGATACTAATAAGTTGTAGCATTAGCATATACACCAAAGCTCTTGGAATTGAACAAATTTAAGCTGTAAAAAAAAGAAAAGTGAATACATAAACCGAGGAATGTAATAAGATTATAAGAATAATCAACCAAGAATTTCGAAACAAAAACTACTTGCTGCAGTATAAAAACAATAAAATCTTACGTTCTTCTTTCTTCATTCAAAAGGAAAATCAAACGGGAAATGAAAAATAGAAACTACCGTTGTTACAAAAATTGTTAATAAGTTTCTACAATAATGGTGTTTGCGTAGAAAAAAAAACTTCGCGTCGAGATATTTGGGGGAGGCATTATTGGTGGAGAGGATGATGATGAAGATCAGATGGTTGACCTAAGACTAAGTGAAATAGTGGTTGCGACAAATGACTTCTCCGACGAAAACAAGTTAGGAGAAGGCGGCTTTGGTTCCGTGTACAAGGTAATAAGCAAATATAACAATTGACCTCGTAAATAAGATCAGAAGTTGATTGATCCTAGAAAACTTTTGTTTTACTTTTACTCAATCTATGATTCTAAAGTTCTTTACCAAACGATTATAGTCGAGGAGTTTATCCATGTTGGTCAAATATAGGAATGATCTATCCCTCACTTTTAATACGGTATTGTCATAATGACTGATTCCACAATTTCTCAAAGTTTCACCCTAAATAATGCTTAAAATATTTGCTGATTGGTTTTGACCGTAGGGAAAGGTAGCAGCAAATGGGATGGATGTTGCCATCAAAAGGCTATCACCAAACTCAAGGCAAGGTCTGTTAGAATTCGTAAGTTATTATTTTACATCCAGAGGTCTGGGGTTCGAGTCCCAGATACTTCGATTTATTAATAAATTTGCACAGATTATTGGAGGCAAATGTGCAGGAGTTCTCCAGCGATGTACAATTATAGCCGTTCGCCAGGGTTCTACGCAGAAAGAGAAGTGTTCATCAAGAACATGAAGAAGAAGGTGAAGGAGGTGAGCATGAAGAAGAAGATGAACGAGATGTCGTCTGTCGTGGATCTAATAAGGGTCGGAAGGAATTGTCCGTTGTAGAATCGTCTATGTACCCGTTCTCATAATTTGCAATAAATAATAAATCCAGACGATTAAAAAAAAGGAAGAATGAATAAAATTGAGGTAAAATTCACATTAGATTTTAAATGGATTTGAAAGTACAAAAATAAAAGGATTTAAATCTATGGGTAAACCATGTTATTTTAAAATTTATATGTCTCATTTCAAAATCAATGAGCAATGGAAATTTTTGAGAATTGCCCATTTTGATGTGTTTTTTTCAAATGTCCCTTTTAGATATCCATTTTCAAAAATATCTCTCATAAAATATGAAAAGTTTAAGTTTTATAAGGTTTATAATAAGGTATTTCTGGATGATATTTACTACTTGGATACTCGATCCAAGTATTTATAAAGTAATTAATAAAATTTTACCAAGTATTTTAATGAGATAAGTTTTACAAAGTAATTATCAGGTTAACAAGGTATTTATAAGGTATTTGTAACCGTAGAATAGTACAAAACGACTATTGGAAGCAAGAGAAAAAACGATATGAATGTGAAAACAAGAGAACCAATGTCTTTGGCCGATTTCTATATATTACTCTTTTTTGCCAAAATAAAAAAGGATAATTTGACTCTATAACCAACAAAAATTTATAAATTAAGAAAGTAGCACTAAAAAAAAAAAAGGTGATATTCTTTATAATTTATGTAATAAAGACAGATTTAGTCCCTCTCAACCTCTCTCTCCCTTCTCTCTCTCCACGTCCCTCTCTCATCTCTCTCCCTCTGTTCTTCTCTCCTTCCCTCTCTCTCTCCACGTCCCTCTCTTCTTTCTCTCTCCCCCTCTCTTCTTTCTCTCTCTCCCCCTCTCTTCATCCCTCTCTCTCTCTTCACGCACCTCTTTTCTCTCTTTCTTCACGCCTTCATTTTCTTCGTGAGACTGAAAGGACTTTATTGTCTTTTCATACACCACATGTGCTACTCACTTAATATCCAAGATTATGGTGTTATAAATTTAATAACTTTTTCAAAATTGGCTACTTTTGCAAATCACCCAATAAAAAATGGTGTACGTGAGCAATATCTGGAGCTTTCATTTTACATTAATATCCAAAATTTGTCTGTTTTGATCCATTAATTTGATTTTTTCCGAGCTTTACAAGGTGTTGAGACTCCTTTAAAAAAATTCAAAAATATTTTGCTGATAAAAAAAAAAATTGAACTAATTAGTTGTTGCTCTTACTGAAATATACTCCCTCCGTTTCGTTTTAGTTGTCGTTTTAGGACTTAAATTTTGTTTCGTTTTAGTTGTCGTTTTAGGTTTTCAATGCAAATGTTTGGTAAAAATTCCAGTATTATCCCTATTGTTTTAATGTTGTGGCCAATGAAATTTTTTATAAAATATATTAATAAAGGGTAAAATAAAAAATTTAATACTTTTCTTAATTTGTGTGAAAAAACCTTAAACGACAGCTAAAACGAAACAGAGAGAGTATATATTTAAGTATCCAAGGATGAGTTTGGAAGTCTCGGAGCCAGGCTATTAGTATAGGACTCCGGAAAGCGTCAAGTTATTAGAAACTTATGATGAGGTATTTCTAATGTGTGTATGTCAAAGCTAATTATGTTGTTGCTTTGTAATTTCTTTTTAGGAATTTTTATCTTGTTTAGCCTTATTTGTTGCTTTATGTGTTATCATGTAATCTCATTTATCGCAAGGAACTTGGGGATTTTGTTGGTAGAACTTATCAATGTGTTTATGTTGTATACTTAATACTTGTATATACATAATTATAAACGTAATCAAGCACATGTATAAACAACCAATCGTAACTTAAAAATTTCATTAACAAACTTAGCTTTTGGTTAGTGTAAGAAGAAAGCACATAAAGAGAATAACTAATACTTGAGATTCATTATGTTAGACATCAATAGGGAAGTTGACCAGGGATATTCCCCGGAGGATCATAGCTGCATATGATCCAGGGTGTATCAATCTGACACCTCACCGAGTCACGTTACACAATCTGAGTATAATCATCGCACACACACATTCACGAATTGGTGTCATAGCTTACCATATCCAATACTTAGTTGCGACGGGACCACTCATCCCAGAATCCAGATTATCCCCGACGGCGCCGTAGGGTCCTCCCAAGAGCACCACGGCGTAGTCATCGATACATTTGTTAGCAATCCTCTGTGCATAGGCTGCAAGAGTCTCGTTCCACTCCTTGACGTACGCTATGTTGTGAGCCGTGAGCGTTTCTTGCGGTTCGACATCGGCTCTTGGGCTTCCCTTTGGCGGTTGAGCGAGGATACCACGAGCCAGGAGGAACAATAATGCGACTGAGATAAGGGTATAACCAAAAAAAGACTTATTCTCCATTTTTTGCTCTTTTGAAAATTTATTTTATTTCTTGGCTGGTACATATATAGAAGTTAGGTTCGGTGGGCTAAGAAACAAGCTTGGAGACTTCACATTTTCGTAAAAAATTTCTAATTAGAATTTGCTTTACTCTATTTGTTAAATCTGCAAAAAAGAAAAACTTACAATTCTTTCCTTTGTTCTTCCATATTTTAATTATTTTTATGTTCATTTAATGCATTCATGGAGAGAAAGTAGAAATCTAAAATGAATCTCAAACCAGTCCAAAAGAAAAGCTAGCTCTCATTGAATTTTATCTAATTTTGCTATTTTCTATTAAATCAATAATCTCTGTCCAAGTTGCGTTAATGGTCAGTGAAGTTCGTGCTGTTTTTTTTTGTCAGAACAAATGTTATTGCTTTGTAATTTTTCTATCTTGTTTACCCTCAAATGTTGCCTTATGTGTTATCATGTAATCACACTATAGCTAAGGCAAATGAATTAGGTAAAACCCGTTCGATCATGAAAGCTTTGTCGAGCCACGATGGCTATATGTATAAGTGAGTGTCGTGGGTTGATTCCATAGGATCACAAAAGCACAAAACGATGTCGTGTTGTTATAACCGGGTCACACTTAAACCCTCTTACAGAACAAGAGAGTTTATCTAGCTCACACTTTACTATTTTGCCGACCAGTTTTTGTATTGTGGGTTATGATTATCAAATGTTCTCATTAAATTTTATAATCTCTGCCTAAATTGCGAATATGGTCAATGAAAGCAATTATTAATTTGTACTTTATTTATACGACATTACACGTGGTTAACCAAAACACTGGTCACTAGGAAGTGGACCAGGAACCGACCCATTATCCAAGAACTGAAGACCGAACACCACAAGAATGGCTAGAACCGACAGATACGACAAGCCCTCTACCGCACCCAACAAACCAAACGGCCCATTTGGCAGACCCGACCCGGTTTTTGTCTTGGTATACAGAGACCAGCCCACGATGCCAACCACCACCAAGTAGCTCACACCTTCCAACGCTCCGATTGAACCGGCCGGTCCTGGAGGTAAGCCACAACCTGTGGTCTTGAGAGTGTAGAGGGACCATCCGATAACCGGTGTCGAAACTAAACCACCGACTATAGCTGCCGTCTCCAGAACTCCGCCAGTGTTGGTATTTTCCTTGGCCTTTGCTACGACCTTACCTAACGGCTTAATTGATCGCCGGATCAAATTTCTCCGGTGAAACGACGGTGGAAGAGAGGCAGAGATCGGAGATAGTAGAAGCATTTTAAGAGAAAGAGAGAAAAAGATTGGATTTTGAACTCTCACCAGTTACCACACAAAATAGCAAAACTCTCTGCATAAGCTTTTAAGAAGAGCCTTGACGACCGTTTGATCTTAATGCATCACACACACTACGACAATCCTAGCAAAACCATCCTGACCAATCATGGTACGACATGTGTAAGTGTAATGGATGTAAAACAAAAGACGATATAACACAAAAAGATTTATCCACAAGCATTCTTACAAGACCCTCTAACAGAGAAACAAGGTCTCGAAACTCTTCCTTTGTGTTTGTGTTTTTTCTTTCCCTCCATAAAGTGGGGTTTCTAAAAAGGCGGTAAATCCAAGCTGAGTAACCGTCATTTGAAAATCCACCAGCCTAACCATAACTGACATTTGAACATTCATATATAGCCGCCTTAATCCAGAAGGAGCAGAGCTTTTCTTCCATCTAAAACTTATCAAACTAAAGATTCTGATCTGTATCATCAACACCATCATCATCGTCGTCATCATCATCATCATCGTCATCGTCCTCACCATCATCATCGTCATCTCGTTTTCTCTTTGGGCGAGATGATGATGGCAAGGACTGGTCAGGGATTGGCAGGTCATCTTCGACTTCTTCTTCTTCATCTGGATCATTGTCCTCATTGATCGGCTCGATGTCACTACCCACAGCATCATGATCTTCCACTTGAGAGACTGGCTGAACAAGGTACCCTTCACCGGATTCTTCATCCTATCAAATTCATCAATTACAAGGTCAGCCCTAAACCCAAAAGCAACAGTTTGACAAATTAGAACCTCACGCATGGAAGCATTCCAACATCACAAAGAGTCACGGTTGGCGATTGTCTTCACGAAACACAACAAGGTTAATTGTAAATCTAACATGATACCTTATGCTAACACGACAGGGTACTTCGTAAATATGACCTCATACTTTATGCAGCAAACAAAACAATGCAAGACTATGCAGCAAACAAAAAAACGCAAGACCGGACTGGAATTCTAATCCAGTAACAAATTTACGATACTAAAGTCCCCTCTTATATGTCCTCTATCAATCACCAACGTTCTAATATCTTTCTCTGAATAACAGTAGGACAGTGAACTTAGGCACAAAAAATTATAAAAATGAGGTAGTAAGTCTATCAGGAACCTATCTGCGGCAACTACGAACCATTAAAAAAAACAAGAAAAAATCAGTGAAACTCTAGCATTGCATCCAAATATCAAAAACTGCATTAGATTTTGAAGTACCAAGTATCTCACCTCCTTTTCAACATCATCATCTTCATCCGCAAACTCTCCATCATCCTCAACCCCTTGGTCATCTTCCCCAGTCTCGCCATCACCGTCTTCATCATCATCCCCTTGCTCATGCCCATCAATCTCTCCTGCGTTCATCAACCTGCCTGTGCTCCCTGACCCACCAAGACCACGATCATCATTATCAACTTCCTCTTCCTCCTCATCCTCTTCATCATCTTCTTCATCATCAACCCCATCTTCCTCATTATCACTATCTTCAATCTCATGCACCTCAACCACATCATTATCTCCCCCTACTTCCTCCTCATCAATCTCCTCACCAGACTCACTATCATCCCCATCATCTTCCCCTACTTCTTCCCCATTTACAGCTTGAAGATGGAATCCATTAGGCCGATAACTCGTCCCGTTCACTCCAGTAGCCTGCTCTGACTCATCATCCTCAGCATCACTCTCTTCATCCTCATCAACATCAACAACACCATCTAGCCTTTCACTATGCCCATTACTCATCCTAGGAGCCTCCGCTCTTTCATCTCCATCAACCTCCCCAATTCCAGGATCCTCTTCATCACCCTCCTCCTCCTCCTCTTCATCCTCCTCATCTTCCTCGTCATCTTCATCATCAGACTCAGGCCTCTCATTCCCTTCAGCATCAGTCTTATCTAAATACTTCAAAGTTTTAATCAACCCAAAAACCCTAGATCGATAATCCTTAACCCTAGTGACAGGACACTCATACAGATCAAGAGACACGAGCTTCAACTCCGCCAAAGGAGCTAGATCCTCAACAAACTGGATCCGGTTATTAGACAAATCCAAATCACGCAACGAATCAAGCCCAGCTTCAACAAGAAACTCCAAGCCAACAGTGATCCGATTATCAGATAAGATTAGCTTCTGTAAATTACCAAGTCTAGGAAACTGCTCCAGCGAAGAAATACCGATGTTAGCTATAGAAAGATGCTGAAGATTTTGAAACTTCTCGAGAACATTGGGCGGTGGTAAACGTCCATGAACGCGTTTCACAGCACCATCAAGTGTTAGCGTCCGTGTAGCTAACCTATCTGTTTGACCATCTAGAGCCGCTTCCACAACTTTTTCCCAAATCTCATCCATCAAAACCAAACCCACCTTAAACCTCACAAGTCACGTCTCTCTCAAAACAGAGAACAGCTTCGAAACTTGCGGAGAAGAAAATTTCACAACAGAGCGAAGAAAGGGGAAAAAGAGAGTTAGAACAGAGGAAATTGTTGAATCTAGATGAAGGGTATGAGATGATTTGAAGAACCCAGAATCAAAAACCCTTTCTTTTGGAAAAAATTTCTCAACCAGAAACTCTAATTTGTACGGTCGCCATCAGTCGCCATTAAAACCTCGTGAGGAAGAAGAAAACCTAACATTGATCTTTGTTGGGCTCTTAATGGATTGAGAAATTCGTGTCGGGTCGGGTGGGTGGTTTTGAAGCGTAAATTCTTTAACGCGTTTATAACCGTTGGATTTAAGTGTTTCTGATCGGTGACGTGGCATAATGGAAGGTGTGGATTGAATTATTTTGTTTTGGTTGTGTAGAAGGACGTAAGGAGGATTTGGATCTGGACAATTTCGACACGTCTCTGTTGTGTGCAACTAATTGTGGACCCCTTTCTTTGACATATTTACCAAAAACGCCATTATCGGTCTTTTCTTTTTTTTTAAATATGAATTATCAAATCTACAAAACATTAGTAGATCTTGTAGTTGTGAATTAGAAATTGAAACACATATAATTCATTTAAACTATATGTTTGGTTTTAGTAATTCAACATTGTTCATTAAGTTCGTTTTATATTTTGGTTACAAGATTTGATCATTTTGACGTGTTAACCATTTGAGTCAAGATGTGATTTTAAAGCTCTAGTGGGAAATTTCAATCGAATAGTTTTTTTGTCGAATATAGAGAATCATTGTAACTTTTGTATACATCTACATTTGTCTATTGAAATATAAAGAAAAGCAAATAATCAAAAGAAACAAGAAACTACCTAGTAAATCAAGAAAGAGTTTTACGTAGTCAACATTTGAAATTTACATCTCCATGGAAACTTGGCATTGATAATTAACAGATTAGGTTAATAATCTGTCATATAGATTAATGGCATATATAAATTGACAGTTACCTGTAGAATGATCTTAACTCTCTTGGCATATATAAATTATTGCGTTACAGCGTTAGTATTGTTTTTAAGAAACAATATAGCCGTTTTTGTCAGTGAGAAAAAAATAGAAAATTGTAAGTCTCATGGCTGCTTAATATGTTTCAAAACTTTGGAAATTATAGTCAACTGCAAGCAGTAGATGTTTGGAATTGGATTATAAAATAAAAAAAAAACTAAAGAAAAAAGGATAAATCGTATTTCCAGTTTTAAAATCGGTTTGGAGAAAAAGTAATTAATCGACCGAAAATCCCCAAACCTTGAAAATCAACCTCCTTGACACATCTTTACTAACATTTTTCCACCATACGCAATGTCAACAAAGTTACTATGCATAATTGATTTTGCGCTAGTTTTTTTAAATCGTCGTCATATTCATCGGTTTGGAATATACCACTATATGATTCTCGAACCAATGGACTCGTTATCTAATGCATGACGAAGCAATCTATCTTCAACATGAATTATGTTGTCGCTAATTAATTGAATCGCATCCATAAGTATATTTGTTTCGATTGTGATTATCTATGTTTGTTCAAATCAACAAATTACTAGCCAATTGTTAGAAGGGTTACTTACGGTAGTTGATATCATAGCCATGTTAAGTTAGTATCATCCTCGACAAAAGTAATATTATCATCGATGTCATTTTCCCATTGCATTAGACTCTGAATCAATGTTAAATATGGGAGGTTTTTAATACTACCGTGTTTTTTTTATTTTTATTTTAAGTAATTCATTTATCTTTTCATTAGGAGAATAATGGCGAAAGTGTTTTGTTTTTAAGGTTTTGTTATAAACAAAACGGAAATTTCTATCGTTCAAAAATCAAAACTATATTTGACAATTTTTTTTTTCTTTCTATATTTGACATTTGTATAACATATCTTTTAATATACGAATTTAAATCAGATAGTAATGTGACGACGACACTAACACAAATCTTTATAATTTATATCATGGTTAACATGTTTGTTGTTATATAGAAGGCGGATTAGGACTGCGATCAATTAACGAAGCAAACAAAGTGAGTATGTTGAAGCTGATCTGGCGTATACTATCAGCAAAGGGGTCGCTATGGGTGGAATGGGTGAAAAAATATCTCATACGAAGAGGCTCCTTTCGTGGTGAAACTGTTGCGCCTTGTCTCGATATTTCAGGAGCTTTTTCCAGATCCAAGAGCCGCAGGTCGTGGTATCTAAGATGTTTATACATCTTAGATAATGGGGAAACTACATCATTTTGGTTTGATAAGTGGAGTGATCTAGGATGTTTATATGAGAAGCTTGGGGGGCGAGGCTGCATTGATTTGGGAATCGCAGCCACTGCTACAGTGGGAGACGTGATGGCCATGGAACGAAGAAGAAAGCATTGGCCAGTGTTGTTAAACCAAGTCGAAGAAGTAATCCGAAAACAGAAGCTTACTAGGAACGCGGAGAGAGACGTAGGTCTGTGGAAGGGGAAGAATGACCATTATCGCAAAGAGTTCAGTTCTAAAGAAACATGGATGCAGTTACGAACCCCACGGCCATTGATGGAGAGCTACAAAGGAATCTGGTTCCCGCACTCGACTCCGAAATACTCTTTTATCATATGGCTCGTCACAAAAAACAGAATAGCCAGAGGAGACAAGTTACTACAATGGAATAGACAAGCTAACTCGAGCTGCATTTTCTGCCAACATCCTATGGAAACAAGGGATCATTTGTTCTTCATATGCCCTTATTCCCATAGTGTTTGGCAGGAACTCGTCAAGGGCATTCTCCTTTCCCAGTTCACGACAAACTGGAGGGATATTCTTAAGCTGACCACCGACAACAATCTTGGCAAGACGAAAACGTTTATTCTGAGGTACATCTTTCAGAACACCATTCACTCTATTTGGAGAGAAAGGAATAATAGACGACACGGCGAAAAACCGGCTCCAAGCGAGAAGCTATAACAAGAATGATAGATAAGAACATGAGAAACCGTTTCAGCACAATTAGGAGTGGAGGAGATTTGAAGTATGCGGAAGGCATTGAAGAGTGGTTTGCTTCAAGGCAAAATTGAGAATGACTACTTGTTCTTGGTTTTGATTTTTTTAAAAACAGTATGCATTAAAGTGTAAACATGTTTTTTTTTTTTTTTTTGAATATAATTTAACATTAAATTCAAAAAAAAAAACATGTTTGTTATATGCTCATATGCATTTTATTTGTATCTATTTCATGATCTTACATTAAGAACGTCTAAATGTGTTGAATGAGATAAGATAATACATGAATCGGGAGAAAATGCACTACACAAGAAAAGTTATTAAAAAAAAACTTGAACGGGCCCAACTCGGGATATCAAGATTTCGGCCCAATATGTCCATGCATGCCAATCTTTGGTTTATCACTTTTTTAAAGTAGTATTTGGATTATCGCTTAGTATTTGCATCTACTACAATACTATGAGCAAAAATGATTATTTCTTTAATTTGATTGCTAGATAGTGCTGAAAACTTTATGTCTGTAAATGAAATTTCTAAGCTGGCTAAATAGTGTTCTGGATTCTTGAGGGACCTTGTCACGCCTAAAATAATGTTGTTTTTCGAAGCTCATAACAATAGACAATTAGACATTACAAAAAAAAAAAAAAAAAGAGATATAAGACAGTAGAAGAAAGAAACTAGACAATTATGTGCTAGTTTTTGATGGATAGATATTACATAAAAGTTGCATTTATCCTTTTTATCAAATGCCAAAAGCAGAAAATAATATCAATCCAATCTTATAATTATTGTACGCAAGATGTTTATCTATCTGTTTCAATAATACGACACACGTAGTTTGTAGATACACTGAAAGGTCAAGGTCAACAAATAACACGATCAATTGCATTAAATGTGTAATAGCATGATAATCAGAACACTGTTTTTTTTTCTGATAACATCTATAGACGACAAAATCAACCGTAATTTCAAAATTTCCGTAATTGTTTCTCTTCTCTTTTCTTGTTTTATCGACAATTATGGAAAACTCTTTTTTTTTAACGGAGATGTTTGGTCCGACAACGTGACGGTAAATCCTCCACTGTCTTCGCTTAATGACAAACGACAATTAATCTTTTTAACTTCCTCTTTTCACTTACAAGTTATTTCATCATTTTAGTATATAATTTTTTCTTTTCATTCTCTAAATTTGAATTTTCATTGTAACATAACGGTAATATTAGTATTTTTGGTTAGTTGATTATGTGACATGATTATGGATAATAGGCTTGACAGGAGTTCGTATCATACAATGAATCATTGATATAAAACTACTTTATCTACTACAGGAGTATTTCATAAATTTCCTTTAACCATTTTAAATCCAAAAATGAGTAGATAATGAGATTATTAGTGAAGAGAAAGAGAAAGACAATGAGATTACATAAAAAATGCATGGGAGTCCAAAATCAAGATAGATATACTTGAAAACACTCGAACCCCACAAGGATCGAAAAAATATTTCTTTTAGATAGCTCAAAACAATTATAAAAAAATTTCAAAAATCTTTTAAAAATATCCAAAGTGTTGAAAAGTTGAAAATCGATTAAAGAGATATGAAAAAAAAAAAAATAATAATTGTGCCAATAGAGAGAAAGAGAGAGAGAGAGACAGAAGAAGAAAGAAAGGTTCCTTTGTCTCGGAAGAACCAAAGAGCCAACACAAAAAAAAAAAAAAAAAGGTTCGTAGCTTTTCTTTCTTTCTTTCACACGAAATCTCACGAGCCGCCTTATATATTTCTTCTTCTCTGTCTCTTTCAAAACTCAGATCGACGGCGTAACTCTCCGGTGTAATCTCAGCCGTTAGATCTTTGTTTTCAGTGAACCGATTTATGTAGGAGAAGTTTTAGTTTTTAAATGTAATTTTTTTTTCTTTAATTTTTAAAATCGTTGTTATCAGAAAAAGTAGGTAGCAAAAAAGAGATTTTTACGAAAAGCAGATTGACTGGTAGCTGAAGAACAACGGAGCAGAATTATAGAAAGAGTAAAAAATAAAAACCCTAAAGGTTGAAACTTGGTTGACGAAATTAAGCTGAAATTTTCTTCTTCATTTATTTCATTCTAAACTTTTGTTATATTTAAGAATCAGTAAGAAACAAAAAAAAAAAAAAAAAACAGAGTGAGACTAAAAAAAAAAAGATGCCGGTAGATTTAGATAACTCTTCCACAGTTTCCGGTGAAGCAAGTGTTTCAATCTTATCCACCGGAAAATCCACCGGAAAGAAGAAACGTAACCTCCCCGGCATGCCTGGTAAACTCTAAAAACTAGTTTTTATCAAAATTTACAATTTTTCCTAAAGTTTTTTTTTTTTGACAGATCCAGAGTCAGAAGTTATAGCTTTATCACCAAAAACATTACTAGCAACAAACAGATTCGTATGTGAAATCTGTAACAAAGGGTTTCAAAGAGACCAAAATCTCCAACTTCATCGCCGTGGACACAATTTACCATGGAAGCTTCGTCAGAAATCGAACAAAGAAGTGAAGAAAAAAGTCTATGTTTGTCCTGAAGTTAGCTGTGTTCATCATGACCCTTCACGTGCTTTAGGAGATCTAACTGGAATCAAGAAACACTTTTGTCGGAAACATGGTGAGAAGAAGTGGAAATGTGATAAATGTTCAAAGAAATACGCTGTTCAATCTGATTGGAAAGCTCATTCCAAGATTTGTGGTACTAAAGAGTATAAATGTGATTGTGGTACTCTGTTTTCTAGGTAAAGTTTTCAACTTTCTTGATCATACAAAAGAATAAACTCAAAACTCAATCTAAGTTTTGAGTGATTTTGTTTGTAGGAGGGATAGTTTTATAACGCATAGAGCTTTTTGTGATGCTTTGGCTGAAGAAAGTGCTAGAAGTCATAATCAGAGTAAGAAACGGAATCCAGACATTTTGACCCGGCAAAAACCGGTTCCTGACCCGATTCCTGCTCCGGTGGATACTGATCAGTCTGCTAAAATCATTTCTTCCTCGACTTTAACAATTAAGCAATCAGGTAAAGAGTCTCTTGTAGTTTGGTGTTTTGGATCCTTTTTTGTCTCTATATTATCTTGTTTTTAGCTGAAAATGAAGATGGCAAAAGTAATCCTTGTTAATTGGTCGGTGGTGATCTTGGAGTTTAGTTTGGTGTTTTGTCCGTAGTGCTGTATTATTTTATCTGTTACCTGATTAAGAACATAATTCGTTTAATAGTTGTTCAATGGGTGATTGGTTCTTTATGATAAAGAAATGGAAGATATGATTGATTTGCTTTTTTTTTTTTTACATTTTTTGTGAATTGAAAAGTATCAAACTTTATGTAAACGACTAATGACCCATATGTTTTGCAGAATCCCCCAAAACTCCTCCTGAAATCGTTCAAGAAGCTCCAAAACCGACCGGTGTAAATGTTGTTACACGCAACGGTGTTTTCGAAGGCTTATTCGAATCTTCCTCGGCTTCTCCAAGCATATACACAACATCCTCTTCTTCGCCGAGTCTATTCGCGCCATCTTCGTCCATCGAACCTATCTCTTTGGGTCTCTCAACGAGTCATGGATCATCATTTCTCGGGTCAAACCGGTTCCAACCTCAACCAGCGATGTCAGCAACCGCTTTACTTCAAAAGGCAGCTCAAATGGGAGCATCTTCTTCAGGAGGTTCATTGCTTCGGGGGTTAGGGATAGTTTCATCAACTTCAACTTCTATGGACGCAATAGTCCCTCATGGACTAGGATTAGGACTGCCTTGTGGTGGCGAAAGCAGCTCGGGTTTAAAAGAACTCATGATGGGGAATTCATCCGTGTTTGGTCCGAAACAAACAACATTAGACTTTCTCGGTTTAGGTAGAGCGGTTGGTAACGGAAATGGTCCAAGTAACGGACTATCTGCCCTAGTCGGAGGAAGTAGCGGCATCGATATGGCAAAGACATTTGGATCAGGAGAGTTTTCAGGGAAAGACATTAGTAGAAGAAAATCATAAGTAGAGGTAGAGTAAGTTAATAGTTTGAGAAATTGGGGGTTTTAGATGTTCTTGTTCAATAGCTTAGTGTGAGTTTGAAACTTCCCTTTGAAAGAAAGGGTTCAATATTTAATATATATTGCAATTAATTAATCACTCTAATCCATCTAATTTCTTATTCTTAAACGCAAAGAAGTCTTTAGTGACGAGTGATGACGATGATTGACTCTTATCTAATAAATTCCGTGAAAAATGCAATAAATGGAATTGTTTTCCTTTTGGTTTCTTTAATCGGAATTGGTTAAGAGAGTGAGATTTACTTCTTTTTATAGAAACTCTTTCCAAATCTTGAATAGTCTAGGGTCCCATTTGTTTTTTGCTACAATTTTCGGTGGGATATTGAAATTTTTTTACCTTTCGAGTTTTGACCATTGATTTGATTAGATATTCGATAGATTTTTTGCTGTGCCAATCGTATCGTAGGACCATTATGATAATACCGATATAGTGACGTGTTATTATCACGACAGGACAACACTAATACCGGTTTAAAATCTCTTATTACGAGCCATTATTATGATGGAAATAGTCCATAATTATTTTGGGGGCTTCGGCCATAATTCATAAGCCCATTTATCTCAATGTAGGCCTAAAATTTCCAAACATATATACACGAAGAAGGATTAAATCAGTTAAGTTAACCCTCTAATTACAAATAGATTGTTGTCTCATTAACAAAGTTTTATCTTTTAACAAAGTTAAAAGCATGCTTCTTGCCTTTACATGTGCTTCAATGTATGCTTCTAGTTTTCTTTGAAGCACATGTAAAGGCAAGAAGACTACTACATTATTTTCTCAGTCCAACAGAAGCTGACATGAGCTTGAAGCTCTAGCCATATAAACCAACTCATTGAGTTCCCACGAACGCTCTTCCTTCGGATACAAATATGGAGCAGAGAAAGCTGCAGTCTTTAACTGTCTTGCGTTCTTTAGAATGTACGCCACCACTTTCTTCTCTTCTTCTCCTGCGTTGTAATATTTCCACTCGAAAATATTGAGATGGAACAACAAACATTCAGGAACGGAACTTGGTTCTTCCCAATGATCTTCTATTGGATCTTCGGAGTAATCGTGTTCCTCACACTCGCACTAAAAGAATACAAATTATAGTGTATTAGAACTTTAAAACAAGAACTCAAGAAAGTGAAAAAAGGGAAGAAAGAAACTGAATGCATTAGGTCAAATTAAATGTATACTTTGTAAAGCTTGAGAACTTGTAGTTTAGGAGAACTTTCGAGCATCCAAGTAAGTAGATCCCACCACATTAGAGCGTCTCCACATAACTCCAAATGAACTAGCTGATAGAACTCCATATGGTTATGAAGCTGCATAGAGATTCTCGGAAACATAAGCACAATACAAATGTCGTGTATCACAAGAAAACATAGGTTTGGTTTTGGTTACGTACCGTTGTCGAAGCAGATAAACATAAAGAGAGACGCTTGACTGATTTAAGAGGTCCTAATAGCTTCTTGGGGTTTTTGTAAATGACTTTAATATTCGCCTCAACCACCTCATGCATAGTATCTCTCAAACACAAGTCGCCATAGAAATCTACAAAGTTGAAGTACTTCAAAGACGGGGCATTGACCACAAACGTAAAGTCACCGTACAGTTCTCCAGATGTATCAAGAATAGATAATCTCTGTAAAGTAGGTATTTCTACATAGAAAGACCGCACATGGAAACTGTTATAAGATTTGTCCAAAACCAAATCTTCAAGAACAGGACAACCCGATAAAAGCCTACGATGAGATTTTTTGGTTTTGTACTCTACACACACAAGGTGTAATGATTTCAAGGATGGAAAGCAAACAGCGATAGGAACATTCAGAACAACCGTAGAAGCGAGTTTCAAGACCTCGAGTTTTTCATATGTATAAAGACTCTTTGGTAGTTTGATTGACCTATGTTCCCTGAAATATGCTTCACAATGGGATATTTCAAGTTCACGCATATGGCGAACCATTCCAATTCTGATCCATGTTGCTATATCTTCAGAGCTGCAACAAGGACCAACGTCGAACTTCACAGTTTCTAGAACCTGAGCCCTATTTAATACCATTGATTTGTCTACATACTTGAGAAATCTCCCGTAATAGGAAGGATCAAGCTCAAACTCATCGTCAAAACGAAGTTTTGGAACCATCGTCCAAAGAAACTTCCAGCGTTTTGACAAAAGCATTGTGACGACAACATCTTTGGTAGGAAGTGATGAAAAAATCTTCAAAAGCAAATCATCAGACAGATTACTAATCCTATCCATATGGAAACCACTTATAGACTCAAAAACCTTTCAAGATTCAAACAAAGATGTATGTGATGATTACTACAAAACTAACAATAATACAAATACCCATCGAATCAATCACAACCCTAACAAAATCAAAGAGTAACCATGAAGAAAACCCAAAAAAAAAAGACAGATAGTTTTACATGAGATTGATTCCTTCTGTTTCACACCAAAAGGAGATGATGAGGGAAGATTTGGAAGTTTGACTTTGAAGAGAAGGTGGTGAAAGTGTGTTTGCTCCGTACGTCATCAAAATAAAACAAACCAAAAAGGGAAATTGGGCTCAACGGTAATGGCCCAAATTTAGTATATAAGGCTCAAACGAATATTGGAGAGAAGAATAAATAATCTTTGCGTTGAAAGTATCTAGAAAAATTCGGTGATTAGCATGATGGACGATGTTCTATAGATATTTTAATATGGACTGTTTTTTTTTTTTTTTTTTTGAATGAATGTAAAATTTATTCATAAAAAAATCCAGTGTTACATCAAGTGCTTCAGTTTTGAAGGTGAAAATTTTGACATTTGTTTACAATCTTAAGTTCGAATAGAAAACCAAATAATGAGGAGGTCTTGGTACTTCTGATTCTCCGAGCCGTGATCTTGTTCCGAATGGTTTTCTCTATCATTTGGCCAAGGCGAGGAGTTGGAATGTGGTCTTCACCATGAAAACAAGAATGAGAATGCATTGCTTTAAACTTTTTTTTTTCTTTTTCTTAGAACAACAGAAACAACAACGACAACAACAAAATAACAAGAAAACCAAAAGAAGAAGAAAATAAAACAAACAATCTTTTCTTAAATCTGCCAACTTTCTATGGGTAAGCACAAAAAGTGATCATATGGATTTCACCACTTTGAAGAAAAGAACTTCTTGAAGAAAGGAAGTATCCTCTTCATCACTTTCTCCTTCTTCTTCTTAGGTTTGTTCAGCTTGATATAGCGCTTTCCAAGCAGCCAAGTGGTCTCCAATTCCTCTATCTCATCATCATAAGCCTCATCGTCTGTTACCGTTATATCATCATTACTACTCTCTGGGCAGAGTCTTTTTAGCAAGCTTTCCAAGAAGATAGTAATCTCTTTGAATTCAAGACGATTCTTTGAGTCTTCGGCCCAGCACGATTCCAAAATTGGTACGACCTCATCAGGAATATTAATTAGGCTTGGTCTCATGCCCTGAAAAAAAAAGGATCCATCAATTTAAAATCTTCTCCATTTAAGTCAAGATTGTTGATTTGTATATAACTTTTACCTGGTTCACAAAATAGGGAATAGAAATACCATCCATCCCATAGAATGGTGTCTGGTTAGTGAGCAACGACCAGAAAATCAATGCGAAGCTATAAACGTCTATCTTGTGGTCGTAGTGTTTTTTCTCCCCAATTAGGAGTGGCTCACGGCTGCATACCTGCGGATACAAAATATAAAATCTTGAAATTTTATATGTTCAATTAGAAGATTTAGTCTATAAAGAATCATTAATTACCTCAGGAGCCATCCATCGATATGTTCCCGCCTCACAAGTCATGCCACCTACAGTCTTTTCTCTTGCAAGTCCAAAATCAGCCAACTTCACATGATGCATATCACCAGTTACCAAAACATTCCCTACACAAACACCGATAACAAACAATTAACTTGTTTCACTATCTAAAAGACATGATGATGTGTAAAATGGAGTATATTTACTTGGATTTAGGTCACGGTGAATGATGCCTTTTGAGTGCAAAAACTCCATGGCTCGAGAAATGTCCAAAGCAAAGGTTAGTGACGTCTTTAGATCTAGAGGACTCGGACGAGAGTTCAACATGAACCTCTGAAGAGTACCACCTCTTACGAGTTCGGTAACTATCATCAATTGTGGCTCTATGCAAGCTCCAAGAAACTGTACAATTAATGTTGAAAACACCAAAAGATTAATTACTCATTATTGTAACATAAAAACCCATGATTAATTACTCATTATCGTAACATTAATATTAAAAACACCAAATTATTATTTTTGTTTGAAACTTCAAATGATTTTTACATATTAGTTTTTATACTTACCCTCACAATGTTGAGATGTTTCATCGAGGATAGTAGCAGAACCTCCTTTTGAAACTGTTGTTTGTGTTGAATGCTTACAGCAGATGTTTTACTCGGCTGCACTATCTTCACCGCCACAGGCATAGTGCCTTTGAATCTATATAAATCATTAGAGAAAATATATGAAACTAGTGATTAGCAAAAACACTTCATACTTATGGAACTGCAGATTCAGATTTTGCTATTAATGTTTCTACGCAACATTAGATTAATTAATTCACTCCAAATTGTGGAGTAGATCTAATGATTGCCTTTTGACATAGATTTTGGTCCTTAGGTAAGTTAGGTTGCCTCACCAAAACTTCACATATAGTTAATTTTTTACAGTTGTTTCGGATATTAAAGAATTAAAAAAAAAAAAAAAAACTGAAATGAAACTAGAAAGAAACAAGAAGTCAGCAAATTTTGTTTGGAGAAAACCTAATAAATTATTTTTCAAAGATTTATAAGAAATAAAATAAATAAAATCTTAAAAAGAGAGAGAGTGATGAAACACACAGGCCTTTGTAGACGATGGAGTTGCCTCCTTCTCCAATCATCTCTCCCAGCATGATGTTTTTAGGGTTGAGAAGCAACTCTTTGCTGATATTGAAATCGAAATGGTCACCAGAATCATTGTCATCTGAGCCAAACGCTGACATGAAAAAAGGGTAGTTCGGATAAAGCATCATCGTCGGGGCAATGGCCATTGTTGGAGCTCGCTGGTACATTTGTTGATATTTCATTTAGATGACTAGAAGCGAGTGAGGAAGATGAGTGAGAAGACTGTGAAAGTGTTTGGGTTATATAGAAATACTAGTGTTGAGTTTGGGGGTACTTATGTAATTTCAAGAATCGTCTTTTTAAGGAAAATATAGGGCCCGGTACTCCGGTGGAATTAGAGGGACTAAAAAATGAAAGATATTGTTATGTATTAATTGACAATTATAACTTGAAAGGGAATATATAGGAAAAATTGAAAAATAAATCTTATCTCTTTAAGTAAATTTTTTCTTTTATTCACCACCACATGTCATGGTTTTCTTAGAATCTTTCTCTTTTAAGTAATTTTTTGTATATATGTTTAACAGTTCTTTTTGCCTTTTTTTCTTTAACTATACCATATATATGTGGATCCTATAGGGAAACTAAATTTATCTAAAAATTGAAAAATATATATTCCGTTTCTCCTTCTAGATATTATTTAGGAGTTAAGAGTTCAATTTCTATCCGATTTGTTAAATGAAAATGGTAAGAAAAAGATAAAAGTATTATATATTTTTCTAATTTTTATTACATATATTTTTTAAGAAACAATATTCTTTCCATCACCAATAATTTTAGTGATAAAATAGAAAGTGGCGAACTTAAAACTAAAATCGATTGCAACCAAATAAAAATAAATAGTGTTAAACGATCGATGATATAAATATAAAAAATGTTAAACGGTCTATTTAATATTGGTTTTAATGTTCAACAGATATACCTTTTAAATATATTTATTAAAATATAACGGTCTCAATATCATAAATTAAGTAACTATTAAATTGATCTCGTATAACCTAATCGTACTATTCTCTGTTTTATCATTAAAATATCAATATTACGATTACCACAATAAAAATTAATCTATTAGTTCTTAACTAAAAATTGTGTTGACAATAGAACAAAAGAAAGTAGTTCTTTATAACTAAAAGTCTAAATTAAACCGCAATCAATCTTACATTCAACATCATCTTTTTTTTGTGGTCAAACTTGTGAAAGGAATGCAATATGAGAACTTCTTGAGGTCATCCATCTTAGTACTACTCTTTTCCAAGTATATATGTTTAGTAGCGGAGTTTTGATGAGATCTGGTACATTAATGTTATTATGATCGTATTCACATTCAACATCACCTAAAACCAAAAACTCAAACTAAAATTTGGTTTCAGCAACATATCTCTATAATTACCATAAAGGTAGGGTTTGCGAATAGACATATACCACACAATGTGTACCCTCCTTTATCAATCTATTGTCATTTACTAGTTAAATTTATCAAAACCAACTTCAGATTCATTTAATGGATATGTACTTACCACAACAATATATTGAAATTTCAATGAAAAGGAGAATCGAATGCAATACTTTAAACTTGTTTGAGTTTAAGAAAAGGTTAAGAACTAAAAAGAAGAAGAAGAAGGACAATAATAAAATCAACCTTTTAGTTCTTATCTTAAACCAACTTCTTAGGACTAACTAAATAAAAATAAAATTAACCTTTTTAGTTCTTAACTAAGAATTATGCAGATAATATATAACAATCAACTAGTTCTTCATAACTAAAAGTAACAAATAAAACCGCATTCTGTATTATATCTAACATATTCTAAAACCAAAAACTCAACCTAAATCCGGTCCCGGCATCTAATATATACTCAATATTTATTATCCATCTAATATTGTAGACACATCAAAGCTACAGATTATTACATAAACGCATTTAACTTTATCAATATAAATAAAATCTTAGCAAGAGAGAAGGAGGGAGAAATGAATTAGTCAATCATTTGTAGACAAATGCACTAGCTACCCTCAACAATCTATTGTTATTTACTATGATTATCATTTCTAATAAAAAATGTTACATTTACCAAAACGAACTTGAGATTTCGTCAGTACATATATAGTTGCCACAAGGATATATTTTCTGTAAAAATAAATAGTTGAAATGTCCATGAAAAGAAGAACGGGAATTCATTGCTTTAGGAAAAATTTCCTTACAACAACAACAACAAAAGAAAAGAAATAACAATAATTATAACACAAAGAAGAAAAAAAGAACAAATTCACTAACAGAATCTTCAGTCTTGTCCTTTCCTTCAATCCACCAACTTTTCCCTTTTTTTTTTATGGAAAACACAAAAAAATGATCATGGCTTGTACAACCAAGCCTTGAACTTCTTAGAGAAAGGAAGTCTCATCTTCATCACTTTCTTCTTCTTCTTCTTCTCCTTAGGTTTCTTCACCTTGCAACGGTACTCTTGAAGCAGAGGACGGGTCTCCGAATCCTCCATCTCATCGTCATAAGGCTCCTCATCCGGTAGTGTTGTGTCAATACTACTGTTTGAGCTCAGACTTCTTAGCAAGTTTGTCAGTAAAACCGAAATCTCTTTAAACTCCGGACGCGCATCCGGGTCTTGTGCCCAACAAGATCCAATGATAGGCACAATCTCATCCGGAATATTCTCCAGACTTGGCCTCCGACCCTGTAAAAAAATGATATCCAACATTTTAAAACCTTGTCCCTTTTAAGTTAAAAAGAATTGATGTGTGACTTTACCACCTTGCTAACAAGATAGGGAACAACGAGGCTACTAATCACGCTAGCGAATGGTTCTTTGTTTGTAACCAGCTCCCATAATACTATGGCAAAGCTGTATACGTCCGCCTTATGGTCATATTCCTTCTTCTCCCCAACTCTCAGCGGCTCACGGCTACATACCTGTGGTTACGAAACAGAAAATCTTTTAACTTATATGTTTCGAAATATAAGATTTTACTCAAACGAATCATTACCTCAGGAGCCATCCACCTATACGTCCCAACCTCGGAGGTCATGCCACCTCTAGTCTCCTCTCTTGCAATTCCAAAGTCAGCCAGTTTTACATGTTTCAGATCACCGGTCACCAACAAATTCCCTACACAAGTACACCAAATAATCAAATTTGTTTCTCTATTTAATGTGTAAAAAATGGAGCATATTTACTTGGATTTAAATCACGGTGAATGATGCCATTTGAGTGCACAAACTCCATGGCTCGAGAAATATCCAAAGCAAAGCTTAGTGCCATGTTTAGATCAAGAGGATCCCGACGAGAGTTTGTCATGAACCTCTGAAGATTGCCGCCTTCAACGAGTTCGGTCACTATCATCAATTCTGGCTCTATGCAAGCTCCAACAAACTACACATCATCAATAATCATGTTTATTTATTTTATTTTACTTTTCCAAAAAAAAAATGTTTAATTTCTCATTATTATAACATTAATATTGAAAACACCAATATAAATAATATATTTTTGTCAATTTTTACCTTCACGATGTTGTCATGTTTCATCTTGGATAGTAATAGAACTTCCTTTTGAAACATTTTTTCGCGCGCTTTGTTTACAGAAGAATTACTCGGCTCCATTATCTTCACCGCCACGGGAAATCGGTTTCTTAGCCTATAAATCATTATAGAGAACATATGAAAGTTAGTGATTTACATTAATTAAACGCATTTAAATTCATCAATATAAGATAAGAGAGATGAAACACACAATCCTTTGTAGACGATGGAGTAGGCTCCTTCTCCAATCATCTCTCCCACTAGGACATCGCTTCGGTGTAGAAGCAATTCTTTGCTGATACTGAAATCGAATGGCTCGACGTCGGACTCATTGTAAGAAGGATAGTTTCTGAAAATCATTCGAGCTCCCATTTTGAAGATTGGAAGTGAGTGAAGACTAAGGATGATGAGTGAAAGAGCAAGTGTTTGCACCTATTTATAGTACTACAAAATGTGGGTGGTAATTCTGTAATTTTAAGAGTTATGTGGTCTAAAAATGGACGGTCATGTGGGAGAGGAAAAAATGAATTTTGTTTCATGTGTATTAATTGACAATTAATGGTAAAAAAGGGAAAAAATATATTTACCCAATTAGCATGAATTGCATGACCTGGTTTCGTTACTAACCTTATCTCTTTAAGTAATTTTTTTATTCACCACCACATGTCATGATTTTCTTGTAATCTTATCTTTTAAGTAAATTTTTTCATAAATATGTTTAACAACTTTCTTTTTCTTCTTTCATATAACCGTTACTCTATACATATACAAATATATGTGGACCCGATATGTAAAATATATGCAACTCTTTTCGAAAAAACTTTATGCATGACGTGCACAAATGTATACCACGAGAAAAGTGGTAAAAAATGGATTTTTTTTCTAAAATCTAATGTTAAATTATATTAAAAAAATATATATATATACACAAATAAATACAAACTTTTTATAAAGAAACTAAAAAGAAGATTATCTCATTGGTGTTGTTATGATGTAAACCAAACTTGTAGTACCCTTGAGTATTTCTCATCTTCTCCTTTCATAATTGTGTTTAGACGGTTTTGTAGATTCTTATCAATCAACTTCACGAGCTTCGTTTTCATATAGTAAAAATGGAATTACTATATACTTTTATCAATTTCTAATTTTTATTATATACTATATTGTAATGATCAAATAGAAAGTGAGGCAGTTAAATTGAAGGCGATCAATGTCAAGAAAAGAGAATGTTATACGATCGATGACAAAAACATTTAAAAACGATCTAGATTTAATATTCAATCGATATATATCTATTACAATGTACTTGTTGATATACAACGATTTTAATACCATAAATAATCAGTTAAGTTAAAGGTGATCGATGTCAAAAAAAATAAAAGGGTTTTACGATCGATGACAAAAACTTCATAAATGTTAATCGATCGATTTAATAATAGATTTAAAACTCGGTTGATATATATATATATATATATATATATATATATATATATATATATATAATGTACTTACTGAAATAGAAATATTAAATACCATAAATTTTGTTATTATTAAATCGACCTCGTAGCACCTAATCGTACTATTTATCTTTACTAAAGATAGAAATTGAGTTTAAAGTGATCGATGTACAAAAAAGTGTTTTCGATCACTGACAAAAGCATAATAAGTGTTAAATGATCGATTCAATTATAATTTAATATTTAATTGTTGTATATATATTACAATGTAATTATTGAAATAGAACAGTTTTAATATCATAAATTAAATTATTATTAAATTGATTTCATAACGCCAAATCATACTATTTTCAAATTCATGTAATAATATATATCACAAATACCAAAATAACTAAAAATTAATTATTTAATTCTTAACTAAAAAATTTGGAAATAATAAAACAAACGATTAATTCTTTTAAATTAAAAATGCATTCAATTTACGACTTTACATCCAACATCATTTAAAACCGAAAACTCAAACAAAATCTCGGCAACCAACTCCTATAATTACCATAAAAATATGATTGACGTAAAAGTAAATAAAAATGTAAAATAGTTGATTCAATTTTTATTATTTTGGTTAACTAGTAAATTTTGGACTGAGTCGGAGTCCCATACATTTCCTATGCCTGACGCGCCTCTAATAATTTATAATGTATATAATGTATGTTTCTTCTATTTTTATTATTAAAGATAAGATAAAATAATCATGCAACCATCATAACTTAGTAATCTAGCTTTGGTTATAGTTTACAAACAAAATGTACTCATAGCCAATGATGATCTCAAACCGAGTAAGACATCTCAATTTGCAATATCACAGCTATCCATTTTATCATATGGTGAAAAGATTTTCAAATTTGCGCTGGAGTGTATAGCTAAATCCCACAATCTACGTTTTGGATATTTTGGGAGACCGTTTTAGATTTCTCTATCTTTGATTGATTAAAATTTTAACATCTGTACATGCAAAGATGTAATGATATCAATATCCCACACACATTAAAACTTTTTGTGAAATAAAAATATCAACTGGCAAATTCTCTCATTCCACACACATTAAATCGATATATATCTATTACAATGTACTTGTTGAAATACAACGATTTTTAATACCATAAATAATCAGTTAAGTTAAAGGTGATCGATGTCAAAAAAATAAAAAGGGTTTTACGATCGATGACAAAAACTTCATAAATATTCATCGATCGATTTAATAATGGATTTAAAACTCGGTTGATATATATATATATATATATATATATAATGTACTTACTGAAATAGAAATATTAAATACCATAAAATTTGTTATTATTAAATCGATCTCGTAGCACCTAATCGTACTATTTCTCTTTACTAAAAATAGAAATTGAGTAAAAGTGATCGATGTACAAAAAAAAGTGTATTCGATTACTGACAAAATCATAATAAGTGTTAAATGATCGATTCAATTAGAATTCACTATTTAATTGCTGTATATATATTACAATGATGAGATTAAGTATGTTACCGAACTTAGATGAGTGAATCAGAATAACCACCATCTAAAAAGAACTACATCGACAATATATAATTGTGTATATATGAAACATGAGAAATCCACACAATTCTCGTCATGCTATGTCCACTTCGTTCAGTGAATCAGAAAACCACAAAGAATTGTAATTATAAGAAGTAAATACAACTCTGCGAAATGAAGAAGAGAGGACTTCAAAATTATAAAGATGAGTAAAAAAAATTATACTTTAAGAACTCCAACATATACAATATCTAAAGATCAATCAAATTAACAAAAAATACATTTAGGGAAGGGATTCATGATATACCTGAACAAGGACTTGCGCATTTAACAGTCTTCTAGACTTCTTTTTTTTGACCACTAACCCCTAATAATTTTTTTTTTTTTTACACATAAGAAAACAAAGAAAACTTTTCTCGAGGTGACAAAAGCAAAGTAAGAAAATTTTCGAGAATTATGGAACTCAAATTTTATTTCTTTTTTGGTTTAGGAATGGCCACAAGAGAGAGAGACACACTCTCAACGGTATTGAAGAGTAGCGTGGGGAGGAAGCTTCCTTCCTCCTAAATTTTAACACTTTCCGACCTTTGAAACGGAAACAAGACTTCATATGGGCTTATTAATTAGATTGGGTCGAGATTTAAAAGCCCATCAGTATTGTATTATTTTCACCCTCAAAGCTAGTTTAATTTTTTCGAAGCATTAGTCGTTCAATATAAATGAGATTAGTGTTTTACAAAAGCTGTGAAACCATCAACATGTTTTACAAGTTAATGCTGGTCCTGCTCCTTATTTCGTTTGTTACATTTGGATTTCTTATAATCTTTACGAATTACTAGATGGAGTTATTACATAAATGGGCATTTGTTGGGCCAGAAATTTGAAAAACAGAATTTTTATATGGACTTATAAAAATGAGTATTTGTTAGAGAGGAAGATGACGATTTTGCCCTTCTCTTCAATTGATGGTGATGACAACCCATCGTCTTCTTCGCCGCGACAGAGCTTCCAACAATGACAGTTCTTGCTTCTCACCGAACGGTGTCCCCGGCTTCTCTATCAACACAATCTCTGTCAAATCTATCAACCATCACTTTTAGTTATATCAATATCGTCTCCTTCGCCTCCGACTCAGATTACATGTCCACCACCAATCTCTTCCGATGAGTTGCAGCAAAATCCAATTAAACGAGTTTTGATTGAAGGAATCTAAACCCTATGGGTATGATGCCTTGGAAACCCAATGGCTCTAATCTTAAACACGGATGGAATCAATTAATATCTCATTCATCCACAACTCTAAACCAAAATTCGATCGTCGACGGAGCTCACCTTCGTTTTCACCGTTTGTAACACATGAGATTGAAACGGAAAATCATTTTCAAGGGATGTTCGATTTGGGTTTCAAACTGCAGCTTTCAGTGGAGCATCGGAATCGGATAAAGTTTGGCCCGATTAATGTTTTCTGAATTTTGCTGAAGCTCTGACGAAGGGTTAAATCGTCTTTTTCTTAGCTAAAAATGCTCAATTATGTAAGGCCGGACAAAGAGTCCGAAATTGATAATTTCTGTGAGAAAAAAGTCCAATCCGGTAATTGAATCATTACGAGATTGTAACGAGTCTGTTTATTTTTTATAATGTTATGTTTGTTTGCAACAAAGACGGTTTACATCAAATGTAACAGTTGACAAAAAGAAAAATAAAGACAAACATTCAAATGTAACTACTCTGAAAAGAATCGGAATTACAAAAGAGTGGGAAAAAAAAATGATTGAAATAGTCGAAGATCACTTTAGCTGCGTATGGTTTGAATCATATATGTGGCCAATGCATAATAAACAAAGTGGATGATTTGGTAGAGTTGAATTTGATATATAGAATATCCCTTTGGGGTTAACTAAAAAATGATTGAAATAGTCGAAGATCACATTAGCTGCGTATGGTTTGAATCATATATGTGGCCAATGCATAATAAACAAAGTGGATGATTGGTAGAGTTGAATTAGATATATAGAATATCCCTTTGGGGTTAAAATATTACTACACAGTGACGAAACAAAAAAAATAATTGTAACAAACATCATCACTTAAAATGATTGAACTATTTTATTTGAAACCATACGTTTACATAAACTCTTGTTCTAACAAATCCCCGTCTATCCCGATTACTTCCCGCTTAATCGTTAGGTTCACGCTATCCGTCTCGATTAATGACTAATCCCCTAAAAAAATCAGTTACATAATTACTCTTCACCTAATCTGATTACTTTCCGCCTAATCCGAGTACTCCCGCCTAATTTTACATATCCCGATTATTTTTAGATTGCAAGTATAAAAAACTTTTTATTTTTGTTATTCAATTATTGAAATTGAGAGTTTGTAATGTTTTACAATAACTTATATTCAAATTTTAATAAAAATAATAAATCTGTAATACCAATCATAAATATTTATTTCAAAAATACAGTTTTATGTGTTTACTACAATAAAAATATTATAATAACTCTAAAACTAATCCCTAATTAATCTCTGATTTTCTGATTAATCGCCAGATCTATACCGAACGTTCGACTATCGCGTAGCAATTTTTCAAACAAACCATAAACCTATCCCGAATATGTCGGAGGTAGCTAGAGAACTGTCACGTCCGAGCTGATGTGTTATTTGTTTCTTCTTAATCTCAGTTCCAATCAGATTCAAGATTCCCTAATTAACCACATAAAAAAAAAATCAATGATTCATTAATAAAGAACATATAGAATTAATGCAAGAAAAAATTGAGCTACTTTCTTCTAGATGGATTCTGTGAATTTGTTCCTGCTTAGTCTCAGTTTCCAATTGAATTTAAGTTTCCTAAAAATATCAAATATTCTTTAATAAAGAACATATATAGAGATTTGCAAAGTTAAACAGAAAGGAAGTATAAGACAAAATTGAGCTACCCCGTTTTTTGTTTCTTTTAGATCGATAATGCGTAGATGTGACGTTCAGTATCACTTGATTATATTACAATTACCCCTTGTTTGAAAAATCGCTAGGCGCTAGTCGGGCGCTCGGCATGGGCCTAGCGATTAATCGGAAAATCGGATTAAAATCGGGGATTAATCGGGGATTAGTTTTAGGGTTATTTTAATATTTTTAAAATATATTAATCCAATATTGTAAAAATTTATGATTTTTATTACAAATTTATGATTTTTATTAAAATTTGAACACAAGTTATTGTAAAACATCACAAACTCTCCATTCAAATGATTGAATAACAAAAATAAAAAGTTTTTTTATACTTGCAATCTAAAAAATAATCGGGGTATATAAGATTAGGCGGAAAATAATCGGATTAGGCGGAGAATAATCGGGTTACTGATTTTTTAGGGGATTAGTCATTAATCGAGGCGGATAGGGTGGGCCTAGCGATTAAGCGGGGAGTAATCGGGGCTAGGCGGGGATTTTTAGAACAGGGCAATTACCTATGGAACTTAGCAATGATTTGCTGATTAAAAAAAATCTAATACTCCTTCCATTTTAATTTAATTATCATTTTACAGTTTAAATTTTGTTTCATAATATATAGTTGTCGTTGTAAATTTTTAGTATAAATGTTTTGTAAAAAATTTAGTTTTATCCTTATTATTTTCATGTTTTGACCAATGAAAAAAAACTATAAAACATCTTAATAAAATGTTAAATCTTAATTTGTGTGAAAAGATCTTAAACGACAACTAATAAAAAACAGAAAGAATATACAACTAGTACATCATCAAAATAATTTTGCATCATGAGATTCCTATAGAAATGTTTTTAAATTACTGTTTCATATTGATGACAAATATTAATTGTATACACCTATTTTTATTCCTTTTTAATAACCAAAGATTTAGATTCCGAATAAAAATATATCATTTAACTGCGGATAAAATGCAGTGCAGTTGCAGGAAAAAAAAATGCAGTGCAGTTTTAATAATAATAAAAATATTTACATATATATATATATATAAATATTTTTATTTGCTATTGAAATTGTCAGTTCCGTCTCCATTTAAAACGTTAGTGATTAAAAAAGGACTTACTTAATATACAAATTAAACAACTGATTATTATTTGTACAATGAATATAATACATTAGTGATTAGTGATAACGACTAGCGTTGACATGACAAAAAAAAAAAAAAAAAAAACAACGTGATAGCATGTGGCAACTGGCAAGCAAGACTCGGAAACTATAATACAAGATACGAAAAGGGTAAAACGACACGCAGTTTATAAGTAAAATACTTTTAACGGTAAGTGTTCCTAGGCACCACGTGCCATGCACCTGACACGCTCCAAAAGATGCTTGCTCTCGTCGGCGATTCTTGACAACGATTCGTGCGCTACTCCACCGTCGCAACTCAGCGACTCCGCCGCCGTGTCTTTCAGCTTCTTTACCTTCTTTCTCATCTCAACACCTTCCTCCTCCACCATGATCTTTCTAACCAACGCCTTGATCTCTTCCCTCCAAATCACTCCCTCCGACGGGAGTTTTTTAGATCGGACAGCAATGCCAAGCTCTTCGTTGATGAGAGTCGCGTTCATCATCTGATCCGCGAAGAGCGGCCACGCAATCATCGGAACGCCACTAACGACGCTCTCGAGGATCGAATTCCAACCGCAGTGAGTCAGAAACCCACCAACGGCTTGGTGGGCCAAGATCTCTGCTTGGGGAGCCCAAGAAGAGACCACGAAGCCTCTCTCATGAGTCCGGCTAACGAAACCTTCCGGTAGATAATCCGGTGTACCGTCTCGTATTTCACCACTGTTAGCGGAGAAATATGCACTGCAAGCTGAACCGTCAACTGGCGGTCGGACCACCCAAACGAACCGTTGCTGACTCATCTCAAGCCCCCAAGCCAATTCGGTTAACTGTTTAGCCGAGAGAGAACCGCCGCTTCCAAATGAAATGTAAAGTACCGACTCGTCCGGTTGTTTGTTTAACCAATCCAAAACCGGATGATTAGTTTTAGATGGATCAACCGGTCTGGACAAAGGACCAATTGGATAGACCGGTACACCAGCAATCCGACCCAAGAGCTTTGGGTCTTGAAGAGATTTCAAAGTTTTGGGCTCCATATCATCCCAAGTATTCACAATAATACCATCAGCCGTTGGGAAAACTGAACCGAAAGGAACAAATTCCTGGTACAGCTGGCTGTTCGGGTCAAGGAATGTTTCAAGTGTATCCTCAAACCGAACCGGTTCACATCCAGGCATAATCATAGGTTTCTTCTTGATCGTGTGCTCTTCTTCCATGTCTTTGTCCAACGTTGGGAAATACAAAGCCACCGCGAGAAAACGTGCGTTTGAAGCGATGAAGATATAAGTCAACATGTTGAACTCACCACCGAGCGGTATCGCGTCCAAACCAAACAAGTCTACGATCAAAGCCGTTGGTTTGTGTTGCATCTCAGCGATCTTTAATCGAAGGGTAGGAATGGTCTCACGCATCATGACCAAGAGCTTGATCCCAAAAAAGGCTGATGGGTCGACTAAACCGGTGATATCCGGAGTTGGGAGGCCAACAACATCAACAAGGGCCGCATCGCAGCCTGGTGAGTTTAGGAACTGAGATTGAGCGGAAGCTGCGTCGGTTTCAAGGACGAAAATGGTGACGTGGAAGCCGTGAGATCCAGCTAAGCGTTTTCCGAGCTCGATCACCGGAATGATGTGGCCCATTCCGGGGCTAGCGAACATGGCGGCATGTGGTTTTGTAATCTTCATAGCCTAGATAGATGAATGTTGTCTTTTTGTTTTTGTTGTTGTTGTTGTTGTGTGGGCTTAATTACTCTCTCATAGTTGCAAGTGAGTTGAATATATAGAACCAAAAGACTTTAAAATGTTTTTAAGTATATTAAAGGTCTTATCTTCACTTTAATTCATTAATTGTTTTTATTTTGTTTTTGATATCATCTCTTTGATAGGTTTATACAAAAAATATAACAAAAAATAAATAAATATAAATATGTAGGTGTAAATGTATCTTAATGAACTGCATTTATATAGAAAAGAATTGACCACATAAGTTGTCGCGTGAATAATAAAATGTTTAATGCATCGACCAGAAGATAATAATGGTAAGACTTCCGACTTGTATACATTACACACTAGATGATTACTCATAGGCCATAATGCATCATATATAGTGTATGCATGTATATTATATCATTTTTACATAAAGTTTCTTATTAGGTGATTTTCTTGTACTTTGCCCAAAAAAAGAAGATGATTTTCTTGTACTTACTTGCTAAGAAGCAAACAGGGATTTTTAGATGCTCGATCACATTCTCAAATAAACGTCTATTTGTATATATATACGAAATTATGAATTTCATATACAATATAATAGTTATGTCTAACTTAATAAATAATTCAAAACACAAAATAATAGAAAATCGGTTGGAATTTTATTAAATTCTTGAATCATGTCACTTGCTGTAACGTTGAAATTTGCTAAAACGATGTTGCAATTTGCTCAAACAATTAATGTTTTTTTTGTCTTCGGGCAGTCTAGGTCCCCGTCATCTTGATATTTTACATTGATCCATCAGTATTTTCTTCATTAAAATATTAAGCTATCCCATTGAATTAAATTTTGAGATGAATAGTATATCTCATGTTCATGTTTTCACATTTCGAAAACGTGATTCCGATTTATTCAGTTTTTACGTTTTATGTTTTCGAAAAGTGATCCCGGTATATATCATTAGCGTGTTAAAATTATAAATAGAAAAAAAAATGTGGCTAATTTACGAAAACTAGCTTTTCAACGTTTTATTATTATTCTACAAAAACTTTATCTAATTCAGTTTGATCAGCTAACAATTATTCAATTATTTATTTCATTCTAGTTATATTACATAATATTTCTATTAGATGAGAGAACAAAACACTTACCCCAAGAGAATCTTTAACTACACAACATAATTTGATTAAATTTGAAATGAAAATTATATCCTATCTATTATTCAAAAATATAGTGTTGCCACCAATTTAAAAGATACATTTTAGTATGCCATGCCGTATTCAAATGTTTTTTAAGCTGAATTATTACATGATGGAAACTTAGCTTTCCTTGATATTGTATAATATATATGTCAAACACATCAGTAAATCATAGTTTTAGTTTGAAAGATTAATGTGACTTCCGATACACTCACTATGTGGGAGAATCCGTTTGAACTTCTAATAAAAATTGAAAGTAATTCGATTACAAAGATTGATAAGTCTAAACTCCTGTCATATATATGGGGATATATATGCATCTTAGAAATATAACAGATATTTATCTTAGCATCAAGCGTCCCCATCCTCATAATAGATAGTTACTATCAACATAAGTTGACTTATATAGTTGGAGAATTATTCAACATTTGATTATTTCAAACCAAATAATCAGCATCGGAAGGCGTGATGATAATAGTTCCATATTGAGACAGAAATATCAGCTTCGTCTCGTCATGCCAGTTGAATATTGGACTACTAAACGCCGGAGTACATAAATGCCATGAGCAAGTCAACTAGTTAATAGCAGCCGAGAAATTAACGACTTTTTTAAACAAGAATTATCTCTTCTAAACTAACTCATGATGGTTCAGTGGTTGAATAATACAATCGAAATTTGAGGGTCATGGTTAAGAATCCTCCCATTACAATTTCATTTATGGTTGGTCATTGAATACGTTCGGCAAGAATACCTAACCTTTTTACATAGCTTGGATTTTGATTATGAAGTCCTTGATTCTCAAAAAATAAAGAGAGTATTTTCTCGTATAGTTGTAAACAATATCCAAAAAGGGTTACAATGGATTATCAAGGGATTATGTTTTACCCATATCTTTCTCAAAGATGTAATGTCGTTTGCTCATCCCACTTGTAAGTTATGTTTTACGATAATCAATTGAGCTAATTTAGTTGCTTACGTCTTAACTAAAGCAGCTAGATGAACTCCACAAGTTGTGTCATTTACTAGCTTTGGCAGCTTGTACTAATATTTTGTATCCTTGAAGTATAGATCAATTTGACGGCAAAAGAAAATGGATTAACAGACTTTGGTCAATTTACTTTCTTGTATTCTATTATTAATACATTTAAATTATTCTTTATTTTCACAAAATGTTTATTAATTTTGATTTTTTTTGTTGGGTGACATCAAAATTCCATTTTATTAAAATTACCATGAATATATACTCTTTTTTAAAGAGAATCAGCCAGGAATTTCGAATTTACACGGGTGAATAGAGAACTTCATGTCCTTGTTTTTTTAGAGAGTTAGCGGGAGACAATTTCATCGAAAGATAAATATAATTTTAAAATCTCTGAAAAATGTTAACTCTGTCGCGAAAGGAGACCACGTAGAAGAGTTATGAATCATCGATACAATGCCAGGGAAAATCCGAAACAAATCTCATACTGGTTATAAAGGTCATTATCAAACATTCCATGGTCCAAAGAAGAGAATTAAATTCGGCATGGAGAGGAGTTGAAGCATTTTTGAGATCCTCTTAGTCTTAGGCCCATATGAAGATTTTGATTATTTCTTTTGACGTAAATGTTTCTTTTCTTTTATATTTTGAATATACTTTTTCTAGTTAGTTTCATACTTTCATTAAGTGGACCAACTCAAGATGCTAAATGCGTTATTGTCTTATTGATTGTGTTAGGCTTTAACCGATTACCCAACTCTATCTAATTCTCTAGTGCAATTTCGTCATATAGTTTCGGCCCATTATAGTCTACTAAATGACATGTATGAGCCCACTGAAATGGGGAAAAACAATAACATACTCTCTTTTTTTTTTTCTTATTCTTTTTGTAAAATATTTATATGCAAGAAATATGGATATCCAAAACCAAATGGTTTTACACTTTTATGTGTGGAACCAAATTGGTATATATAAAGCAACATGAAAATGACGTGACGGAAAAAAAAAATAGTTTCAATTGTCGACGAAAACAAAAACACATTCGTTTCAATTTTGTTCACACATATATAATATACAATTGTTGACACAAATATATAAACCAAGTGAAGTAAAACCAGTCAACCAGAACCTACCAACAAAACCAAAACTAAAAATTATATCTTCGTGAAACAAAGAAAAAGCCTTTTTTTTTTTAAAAAAATCACTATTTATGACTGAAAGATAAATAAAATATCAGTGTCATTCAAACTTTTATAAATTTCCGTTTAAACGTGTATAAAGGACAGAAGTCTCAAACCACATGAACCAACCAACTTGTCATGTTTATAGCAAAAAAAGAACTGTCCAACAATAAGATTAGTCACGTAACGATAGATTCATATTAGTTTTTTTTTTGTTTCTCATTCAATTTTTGAAAATATAATATCAAAAATACAGGTCCACTAAAAAATGACCCCATCACCACATGGGAAATGGTTCCTCTCATTTTCACACTTGCATTTTTCATTATCCACCATTACATAAAAATATACTACTATAAGATTTGTGAAATGAAGCATTGATAATGACTGTACAAATAGTCATGAAGACCAAGACCAAGACCAACCTATTAGCTACGGTTAAACCGGAACCAAATCCCGTACCGGACCCGACTAAATAGTTAAAACTACGATATTAACCTAGCGGCGTCTTTTGGTGTTGTTACCTAACGTCAGCTCCAAGTCATCGATACCAACATCATGAATCTTCTCACCTTCCCACGGCTTCACCGACAAGTCCCCTCCCCCGCTGATAACGCTTTTTCCGACGAGGTTAAAAGTCGGCGACGGAGGACATGTCTGAGAAACGTTACCCGGTTGAAAATTTCCCCATCGACACGAATCAACCGTCGAAACATCCGATTCGTCGCATTCAGGAATCGATGTATAGTGGTGGAGACGCCGCGTTGGGCTTGACGGAGCCGAGACTGGAAAATTACTACTTTGCCATCTCGAAAGTCTCGGATTTGATCCTCTAGGTGAAGAAATCGGCGGTGTAACAGGGGCACTATTGGAAATTCGTAGAGGAGCGAGGTTTCCTGATGAAGCAAGGTTTTGTAGATAAGGAATGAGATAAGTCGAGGATTGATTCGGGTCAAACCGGTTTGGAATGTGATCAAACCGGGTCGGACTTGGGTAAGACGACGATGATGGGCTAGCTTGGTACGACGGAATTGGGCTTTGAAAGGCCGATGATTGTGGGCTAAGCTGAATTGACGAACACAACGGTGTTGCTTCTGTTGGTCTAGAACCCTGTCGGAAAAAAAATCATTTCATTGTCTGAAAATTATATTAAAACAGAATTGAAATTAAAGTTAAAGTTGGAACCTTTCGATAAGTGGAGCCATCTTCGTGAACGATCCAACCAGCTTCGAGACAAAGAGCTTTGAGGACTTCATTGTTGTCACAGTGTTTAGGGAGTTTATAATTGCCCTGAGATCTAAGTCCGGTGAATATTTTAGCTGCTATGGCTCTTCTTCTTCTTTCTCTCCTTTTGTTGTTCTCTCTCTCTTTCCACGTCGGCATCCTCCCCGTCGCCGCCGTTGATTCTCCTTCTCCTCCTCCTGATGCCGTCATTCCTCTCTCTCTCTGTTTTTTTTTTTAACTTTTCAGTTTTGAGTTATTTCTGGGTTTGTCTTTGTGTTTGCGTAATTCTCGAGGAGAGAAAAAAGACTAAAGAATTTTCCTTCACGAGGAGAAAAAAGAGGCAAAAGTTAAATAATTTTAATGGAGGAAATTTCGTATTTATATGATTTTGTTACGTATAATATGGACATAGTCAAAATAATTTTTGATGTGATTGTAAGTTTGTAATTAATTTTGGCATAATAAGGGGAAAAAGGTGAATGAATCTATGACCTAAAAGCTTGATTTTTTTTTTTGGTATGGGTTTAAAAGCTTGATTTTGAAGTTGGGAAGTTTTATTATATATAAAAAAGATACTTGTTCATCTGACAATGTTCGGTGGAAAAGGGATATATATCTTTGAGTTTGGTTTATTCACCGTAAGATCATAATTTGTGAGGTTTAATCCAACGGACAAAAAAGGTCGCAGAAGAATATGGATAGAAAAAAAAAGATGCCATTTGGGTCTCTCCGGTAATTGTAGTTCATAAAATGTGATGATGAGGTTAAAAGTTTTAACGTACGGCTCAGATTCAGTGGTCCACTACACAGCACCTTCTGCTCCAGTCAGGTCAACATGGGAATCATGTATGTTACGTACCAGAGATATGTGTGCCCTGGTGTGTGTGCCACACACGTGCGACACAGAAACCTCGAGCCGGAGCTACGTGCGACACAGAAACCTCGAGCCGGAGCTACGTGCGACACAGAAACCTCGAGCCGGAGCTATGGGACCCATTAAGCCTTCGAGCCCTACAATGCACGTGACTGTGGGGATCAAAATTTGTGGTATCTTTTTGTATTTCTCATGAATTCTATCTACTACAATGGTATTTATGTAATTCTCTCAGGTTCGAAAACTGTGATCCTTATTCTTAATTCTCGGTTTAGAATTAGTTCATTGTTTGTTCCTAATCATTTATCTGAAATAAGTTGATGAGACATGTGCTAATTTGCATCCACATAAGAAAATAATGTGATAATAATGTTAGAAGATCAGATCTTATGCTGAAGATTCTGTCAAACCTTGATTTCAACATCATTATCCCACGTTTTTTTTTCTTTCTGTAGGTGTCTGCTAGTAGAGCTGCAAATATGTTGATGTTGGTGTTTTCGTTTTTCAGTTTTCTTTTTTTCAGACTTTTTTTTTCTTTAGAAATTAGGGGGTAATATACCTAAATGTACTTACTGTATACATACATTTGAAGTTGGCAAAAAGAAAAATATCTTGTAACAAATCCAAAGTTTAAAATGGGCCGGGAAGTTAAACCCAATGAACATTTGTTTTGTATAAAATTTATCTAAAAACCCAAATATTTAGAAACTAAAAACTGAAAAGATCGATTGAAGCCGAGATAGGAAGGAGACCAGACTAGTGTGCATCAATTTCGACGAGGTTGTTCCAAAAAAATAGGTTCCATATTTTAGGTGAAAACTGGTTAATATATTAGAAATTAATGTCCCAAGTATTCCAATTTTGACAATCAGATCACTTGATGGAGATGACGCTTCCACGCGATTTGGAAGATGAAATCTTGTCTAGAGTTCCAGACAAATCTCTAGCAAGATTCAGATGTGTATGCAAGCAGTGGAACACGCAACTTGTAGAGGAGACCTTTCTTGCGCAACACTCGTCTCGTATGCACAACTATAGTGGTGACGATCAGTTTCTTGGTGACAATCAGATTATAATCAAAGGTGATTGTAATAGGATAAATTCTGTGGCCAGTCCGTCTTTAAAAATGGAGGACCTTACCCTGAAAAAATAGAAAAATTGTTCATGAGTTTGGTTGTAGAATAAGAGTGTACAAGATTGTTCAGTGCACTGGTCTATTGGTGTGTGTCATGGAGAACCAGCTTTTGATATGGAACCCATATTTGAAAGTGACACGATGGATCAAATGCAGCAGTGACTTTCACCGGTTTGACGATGCCTATGGTCTTGGATTCATCCGCCAATCACCAACTCTTCGCAACTACAAAATCGTAAGGTTTCGATGTGCTCATAATTCTAGAGATCGACCTTCTAGGGTTGAGGTATATGACTTCCAGGCCGGTCTTAGGATTTTGGTGGCCTAAAGCATATTTAAAATATAATTTTTGATATAAAAATTAATGTTAAAAAATTATCAAAATATGTTTGAAAAAATGCATTAGAAAAAGTCATTAAATTTTTAAAATTCAGATTTGTTAGCGAAAGTTAAGAATATCATAACACCTACTAGGCTACTAGCCAAGTTAAATAGAATATTTGGAGATTTGGTTGCTAAAAAAACAACTAAACATAAATTAATAAATAAATTAAAAACAATTTTCTCCTACTCTACAAAACAAAAAGGAAAGACACGTAAAGAGGAAAAAGAAAGACATGTAAAAAGTCAAAAAGAAAAAATAAAAGAGAAAAAAAAAAAAAAACAAGAGAAACGTATATATTGAAAAACTCGAACTGACGAAGGGTGAAGTGAGAGCAGCACTTTTTATGATGCACCCGGAGAAGGCACCGGGGCCAGATGGTATGACGGCACTGTTTTTTCAGAAAGCATGGGCTACCATTAAAGTAGATCTTTTATGTTTGGTTAATTCTTTTTTAGAGGATGGGAATTTTGACAAACGGTTAAATACGACAAATATTTGTCTTATTCCAAAAACAGAAAGACCGACTCGGATGACGGAACTACGACCTATTAGTCTCTGCAATGTTGGTTAGAAGATTATATCAAAGATTCTTTGCCAAAGACTAAAGACAGTACTACCAAAACTGATCTCGGAAACACAATCAGCTTTTGTAGAAGGACGGTTAATTTCGGATAACATTCTTATTGCTCAAGAGATGTTCCATGGGTTACGAACTAACCCATCATGTAAAGGAAAATTCATGGCAATTAAAACTGACATGAGTAAGGCTTATGATAGAGTGGAATGGATTTTCGTTGAAAAAGTTTTAACCAAACTGGGGTTTTGTGGAAAATGGATTAGTTGGATAATGTGGTGTATCACTACTGTCCAATATAGGGTTCTTCTTAATGGACAACCTCGAGGACTAATAGTACCAGAGAGGGGTTTACGGCAAGGAGATCCGCTGTCTCCTTATCTATTTATTCTTTGTACTGAAGTATTAATTGCGAACATACGGAAAGCAGAACGGGATAAATTAATTACGGGTATCAAGGTGGCAACTGCAAGCCCATCGATTTCTCACCTGCTTTTTGCGGATGATAGTCTATTTTTTTGTAAGGCTAACAAGGATCAGTGTGGGGTAATCTTGGGGATCTTAAAGCAATATGAAGCGGTCTCGGGACAACAAATAAATTATTCCAAATCTTCGATCCAGTTTGGGCATAAGGTAGATGACGGTGTGAAGGAAGATATCAAATCTACCTTAGGTATCTCTAATATTGGTGGTATGGGTTCATATCTTGGGTTGCCAGAAAGTCTCGGTGGTTCAAAAACAAAAATTTTCTCTTTTGTTAGAGACAGGTTACAGACAAGGATTAACGGATGGTCGGCAAAATTTTTATCAAAAGGTGGGAAAGAAGTGATGATTAAATCGGTAGCTGCGGCATTATCAACTTATGTTATGTCGTGCTTCAGACTACCGAAAACAATCACTTCTAAACTCACTAGTGCGGTTGCTAATTTCTGGTGGAGCTCGAATGGTGCCTCCAGAGGTATGCATTGGATGGCTTGGGATAAATTATGTATTAATAAATCGGAAGGAGGGATAGGATTTCGAAACGTCGATGATTTTAATTCGGCCTTACTTGCAAAACAGTTGTGGCGGTTGATCACGGTTCCGGATTCTCTCTTTGCGAGGGTTTTTAAAGGGCGGTATTATAGGAAATCCAATCCTTTGGAAAATATAAAGTCATATTCCCCATCGTATGGGTGGCGGAGTATATGCTCAGCTAGATCTCTGGTTAGTAAAGGACTTATTAAAAGAGTCGGATCTGGGAATTCCATCTCAGTTTGGGAGGATCCGTGGATTCCAGCTCAATTCCCGAGACCAGCAAAAAGTAATGGATCTATTAATGACCCATCTTTAAAAGTTAACATGCTTATAGATAGTCGATCTAATTTTTGGGACATTGATCTCCTTAAAGCGGTCTTTGACCAGGAAGATGTCGAGTTAATAAGTGCCCTACCGGTGGGTGCGCCAACCAAGGAGGACACCTTGGGTTGGCATTTTACAAAATCCGGCAAATATTCAGTTAAGTCAGGGTATCATACCGCACGGTTGGATAAGTTGGAAACCAACTCATCTTTCATTGGGCCAGATTTCAATAAGCTAAAGGCTCATACTTGGAAAGTGCAGTGTCCACCTAGGATACGTCATTTTTTATGGCAAATCTTAACGGGTTGTGTACCGGTTACAGAGAACTTACGAAAAAGAGGAATTGATTGTGACACTGGTTGTGCCAGATGTGGTGCACTGGAGGAAACAGTCAATCACACACTCTTTCAGTGCCATCCTGCAAGACAGGTTTGGGCACTTTCTCAGATTCCTACGGTTATGGGGACTTTTCCCACAGATTCTATTTTTGCAAACTTGGATCATTTATTTTGGAGAATACCATCGGAGTTTGATTCTATAGCTTTTCCTTGGATTATTTGGTATATTTGGAAAGCACGGAATGAAAAATTGTTTGAAAATGTGGATAACGATCCGTTAGAGGTTTTACGGTTAGCGGAAAGAGAGGCACAATTGTGGCACTCAGCTCAAGTGGAGCTTCATACTGAAACTCAGGCTTCAGTGGAATTTCCAAATCGGCCTCAAACGAGGGGGGTGTCCCTAGATTCGGATTTTACAGGATACCGTTGTTTTGTGGATGGATCCTGGAAAGACAGCGACAAGTTTTCCGGGATAGGGTGGTTTTGTACACCATCAAACGGTGAGCCATCAACAATGGGAGCTGCCAACCTCCGTAGAAGCCTATCTCCGCTACATGCCGAATTCGAGGCCCTCCTTTGGGCGATGAAGTGTATGATTGGTGCAGATAATCAAGAGGTAGCATTCCTTACAGACTGTTCTGACCTGGTGAAGATGGTGTCTTCCCCAACCGAATGGCCGGCCTTCTCAGTGTATCTGGAGGAATTTCAGAGCGACAAGGAAGAGTTCTCTACCTTCTCTTTATCTTTAATTTCTCGTTGTGCAAATGCAAAAGCGGATAATCTGGCACGAAAAATTCGTACGGAACCGCTTCATATCACTTATGTAAACAACATTCCACAAGAATGGCTCTTTTGAGCACTATTTAATTACAGATGACAAAAAAAAAAAAAAAAACTGACGAAAAGTGAGTCATTGAAATAATACACATCCAACTTGACCACAGCAAACAAATTGGACATACAGCTCTAAAATCTTATTTATATTATGTGGCCTAAAGCAAAAGTTTTGGCTGCTTTATGGACGGGCCGGGCCTGATGACTTCACATCTAATAGATGGAAGATTATAACTGACCTTATTAGTTTTGATTGGCACCTTCGAGTACCATTGTCGAGTGTGTCTCTAGGAGGAAATTCTTATTGGATTGGTCTTTGGGAAGATTCTACAGCTTTCATACAATGCTTTGATTATTCTAAAGAAAGATTTCAACCCTTAGGACACCTTCCTTTTAGGTATGATGAGCATAATCCTCTTGCACTAGGGACTTTTCGGGGAAATCGGCTTTGTTTGTTAGAGCAATGTCATCAAACAAGGAAGATATCCATATGGGTCAGGCATTTGATCACGCCTTGGACCATACTGATGGTTATACCACATTTTCCTCTGTTATATGAAACTCATCGTAGTCGCTTCTCCGCAAAAAATTTTGTTGATAGAAACGATACAGTACTCGTCACATCTTGCTTTAACGAGGCGGCCAAATCTATTAGAATTTTCAGAGTTAAAGGCAAGGAGTTCCAAAAAGTTTATGAAACAACTGCAGGAAATACGTGCGTCTATGTTCCAAGTTTAGCTCATCCTCATGGATTTTCCAAGCAAGACACAAGTCGGATAAGATGGAGAGAAAATCGATTCAACTAAAGTTTTGCTCTTTTTTTTATGCTTGTTGCTTGTGTTTACTCTCAAAGACCGCACATGAGTTTTTTTTTTTTGGGTGGTTACATTAGTTTTTCATAATATACTTGTTTCAAGACATGTTATTTGATTGCAAGAACCGGATAAATGATTTGCTGTCTTCTTCTATATCTCAAGGTGACACTTGTTAAATGAAGCAAAGTCTTGGCTGGTGCACGCATTCCTTCTCTGTTAGACTCTTGTGACAGATGTGACTGGTAACTCCATTGCAGTTCTTTCCTACAGCTGAGGAGGCTATTGATTACTATAACCAAAAGAGATGTCTTGGTGGGAAGGCTCTCGTTCTCCGAAGTCAAATTTTAAGTTGTGAGCTCACACAAAAGTGTGTAGTTTACATGGTCAAAATACGGTGTATATAATATAGATTTAAAGGCAATCAACCGGAAGTATTACAGCAACTCTAAATATTCCAAGCTTTGCAACTCTTAACTAAAAAAGAGATGTCACAATACAGAAGCAACAATAAGTCATTCCATATATAATCGTTGTGGGCTTTGGCTTGCAGTTGCTAGCTTTTCCCAAAGCCATTCTGTACTTACGGCATCATGTACCTCCTGGGATGCCTTCTGGGGCTGTGCTAAGAGAACAACGCCAAGTCTATTAGAATTCCATACGTCAATGGCCCTTTTAAACCCCTTGTGTCTTGAGATGTCTCCCACGATTAGCAGCACAACTTTTGGTTTTGAACCATATGAAAGTGAACAGCTAAGAAAGTCCAATAAAATCATCTTGCGTGACGACAGATCATTAGCTCCTGCAACCACATATAAACGCGGATCATGATGAAGAAGACAAAACTAAAAGAGAGTTTAGGCGTTTAAGGAGTTAACCTACACCTGTGGGCAGGGCCGGCCCGCAGGACAGGCCACCCAAGCCACCGCTTGGGGCACCACAAATTTTTTTTCTTTTTAAGGCTTTTTTTTTTTTTTTGGTAAAAAGGCTCATAAAATGAAAATATTTAGTAAAAACTAAAGTTTTTTTCGAAAAAAATAAATAAAATAGGGCCCAAACAATTAAATTTGAATGTAATAATATTCAAAATATCATTATTTTTGTATAATTTACTAAAAATAGGTCAAAAAAAAATTTAGCCCTAAAACTTATAAATATGTTGGGCATTATTTTATTTTTCGTGTAGGGCCTCACAAATGCTCGGACCGGCAGTGCCTGTGGGAAAGATACAGAATCCATTAAAGTCACTACCCACAAGATCCAGATCGCCAAAAGCTGTGATTGTGAGAAGACCATGATAACCCTTACTCTGAAGGGCTCGTATAATGTTGCATTTAACATCGGTAGTATCGAGATGACCATAAGGGATTGGGCAATCATTGACATCCCATAACACTTCAATCTCTGCCTCTGCAAGGTTTTTACAAATAAGAAAAACGCATAAATAATAATTAATTTACCAAAAGATAGTCGTCATGAGACAAGGCGCAAAAAACAATAGACTAGATCCATCGATTTGCTATGATAGAGTATCTAATGCAGATGAAAAATAGGCAAAACGAATGATCAAACCAACGGTTCGAGGAGAAAGACGATTGATTTCGAGCAAGAGATAGAGAGAGATCATACCGCAGAAGGGATTCCACATGGTCATAATGATCGACAAAATTAGCTAGAGAGAAAGATGGGGCAGACGGCAGACTAGCTAGACCCGTTCAAGAAAGAGTGGTTTAACCTAGCGTTTTTTTTTTTTTTTTTACAAGTTAAATTACATACTTTTAAATTAATTTTGAAATGTTATTATATTCAAATTAATACATTTGATGTTTGTATTATGAATAGATAATCAATATAAATTTGTTGCTTGACTATATTTTTGACAAGTTGACAAATTATAATATTCAAATTTAAATATAACAATTATATTAAAGAAAAGTATTTTGTTGTTTCAACCCTTAATTAGGACACATTCCTTTTAGGTATGATGAGCATAATCCTCTTGCACTAGGGACTTTTCGAGGAAATCAGCTTTCCTTGTTAGAGCAATGTCATCAAACAAGGAAGATATCCATATGGGTCAGGCATTTAATCACGCCTTGGACCATACTGATGGTCTTGGCTATACCACATTTTCCGCTGTTATATGAACCTCATCGTAGTCGCTTTCTCCACAATTTTTTTTGTTGATAGAAACGATACAGTACTCGTCACATCTTGCTTTAACGAGGCGGCCAAATCTATTAGAATTTTCAGAGTTAAAGGCAAGGAGTTCCAAAAAGTTTATGAAACAACTGCAGGAAATATGTGCGTCTATGTTCCAAGTTTAGCTCATCCTCATGGATTTTCCAAGCAAGACACAACTCGGATAGGATGGAGAAAAAATCGTTTCAACTAAAGTTTTGCTTGTTGATTGTTTTCTACTCTCAAAGACCGCACATTAGTTTTTTCTTTTTAGTCATGGTTACATTAGTTTTTCATAATACTTGTTTGAAGACAAGTTATTTGATTGCTTTTGTTGCATTAAAAAGTTGGACGTTTTTTCGTCCACCCAATAATTGTTACAGTTTTCTTATGATTTAGTAGCTTTTGGTTATTATTTTCAGTTTTTGAATTTTAGTTTCAAAAAAAACGTTGACCCCTTCGCCAATTGACGTGGAGTTTAAGTAAAAACTATCTTTGATTATAGTGTTTTAGAATATTACCTCAAAATCAGTCGGTTATTGCACTTTGCTAACTATAATAATTAGGAAACTAGCTAAAACTAAATTTTAGAAATTGTCTTAACTACAGTTAGTTTTGTTATTGAGTTATAAATTACAAACGATCGTTCGATCGTTTATATAGAGGTAGAAAAGATAAGTTACTATGCCGCATAGTGATGGTGGGCTCCACACAAAATAATATTAAAACGTAAAACGATAAACATGTGTGCGCCTCATTCTTTGACATTTGCAATGCTCCCTGTTATTTTCACTTTCGTAACAATATGGTTTTAGTGGTATAAATCTTTTATTTCCAACAGCTGTTAGTTGTCGCTCTCATCTTTTTGAAAGATTTCGTGTATATGCTATGAACGCGTAGATGCATTACATAGATACACATATTTCTTATGTGCAATTAACATTCTATTTTGAGACTAAATATAACATCTCTATATTCCCGTGTAGTTTCTTTACAAGTTTTATTACTATTTTTAAAAGTATAAAAGTAAAAACCCCATTAAAAAAAGAAGAAGAAAACAAACAAAGTCTCCTATAAATACCACCCTCATGCTTTCACATTTCTCTAACCTCTTTATTTTCTTTAATTTGCTTCATCGATCAATAACTTATAACAAATTTAAAAATGGCTTTGAGGGCTCCTCTACTCATGTTTGTTCGACTTGCAGCAAATCAGGAGATTAATGCATCGACGAAACAATTTCATGAAGGTACATTAAATTATCGTTTATTTTACACAATTATTTTAATTATATCGTATCTCTTAGATATAATTTGTTAGTTTTTTGTTGTTTTTGGTAGTTTTAAGAGCTGTGGAGAACAGGCAATCCAGAGCCAGGTTCGTCGTCGTGGCTTTTGATGCGAATCCCAACTTAAGAATTCAGATCGAAGCGGCTTGTGTTCGCCATGGAGTTCTCATGTTCCATGTACCAAGTAACGAGTTAAGAATTGCTGCTCATGGTATTGTCCCCGTAGTCGCTTGTGCGATCCTCAGAGCTCCTCGCGGTAATGAAGGATTCCTGCGTATGTGGATCAACATGCTAAATACGATTTCTGGACTTGAAGAACAATTAGGGTATCATCCTACATTATAGAGATTCAGGTGGTTTTAAAATATTATATTACTACGAATAATGGTGGATTTGGGAGTGGGTTTTTAGTATTTATATAGTTAAAAATAATATGGTACTATGATTAGTTTCTTAATTTGTTTGGAGACATGTAATTAATTATATAAATATTGTTGTATAGCAAGATCAGTCTTCTTTAATTTTTTTCCACTCGATAGTTAAATATTGAAGATTGATTAATAAAGAAACACTATTTGTATCTTAACATAAACGAAGCAATATTCTGTCAAATTTGATTTCTCGTCACTCCAACAGTGTTCAACCGTATCTCTGTCCGATTCATTGATCCGGCCGGCGAAGTCATCAATATGCAGACAAAACTGAATTATACAACAAAATCAATCGTGTAATTATTTTCAATGAATCTGATCAGTAAAATAAAGGAAATTAATTAATTGAGTTATCGACCCTGAGAGGTCAAAGATGATGGTGAAATACAAGTGGTCCAATCTAAAAGTTAATACATACAACAAACTAGTCGGTAAACATTTTTTATTTAATTTATCAATGAAAATTAAAATCCTAAAATTCATCAACTTAATTCTTCTATCATATGTTTATAATATCTCTTTTCACCACCATTACTTATATAATATATCTAGTTCTATATAATTGACATATTTTTTAAGAAATCACAATTTATATTTAATCACTTTGATATATCAATCTCAGTTGTTCTTTTATCATATGTATATTATTTTTAGAGAAGGTTTTAGAAGTAAAGTGGTACATTTTCTTTATTACAAAGAGGTGTTAGTAGTCGCTATCCACTTTTTGTAAGATTTCGTATAATGTGCATTCTATTTTGAACGCGTACATGCATATATCTTAACATTCTATTTGGATACTAATAAAAATTATATAGATTATTAATTTTAATCTTAATTTATCTCAACACGTTATATTATTTCTATCAAATAAGATATACACTAATTTTTTTATAGCTTCTGAATAAGAAACATAACATTTCCCTAGTCAATTTTAGTTTTCGAATTATTTTGGTTAGGGAAAATATATTAAGACGACAAATTAAATTAGAAACCTTATTTCAAATTGCTAAAAAGGCTTAAAATTGAATACATAGCAATGCCAGAATATTCCGTGTACTTTCTTTACAAGTTTTTCTAACTTTTCAAAAAGCTGTGAAATATTAAAGAAAAACACCAAAAATACAAATACCACCCTTGTTTTGCTTTTTCTTCACCTCAATAACTTAGCAACTTAAAAGAATTCAACTACCCTTTTGAGTTTTGACAAAGATAGGAGAGGGATAATTTGGTGAATAATGACAAAAAGAAAAGAAAATAAGCCTGTGGCAAATAATATAATTAGCATTTTACAGAGAAGGTTTTAGACTTTTAGAGGTAATTAAATTGGCATATTTTCTATTAGTGTATATAGACTTAATTCATTGTACACTGGTATTTTGTATAAACCAGTTATAGTTAATGTTGGTTTAATTCGGTTTAATGGCTATGGTTTAGGCCTCTTACAATTGTATATAAACCCCCAATTGTATCTTTTGATTAATTAATGAGAATGAGATTATTTTGGTAATATGGTATCAGAGCAAAATATCTTGTTCTCTCTCTAACGTCTTCCGCATTCTTTCATCGGAATCTCACTGGAGTCTCACCGGATTTTCTTCCGATTCAGCTCTCTGAGCTTCTTTTATTTTGATTCGCTTCTTCTCCGTTCTCCTGTGCATCTTCAGCCTCTCTTCGCTCCGATTTGAAGCTGATTTTGATTTCAATGGGAAAACGCAATTGCAAATCGAAATATTGTTCTATCGCTCCCGATTCACCAGAATCCGGCACCGCGGTGTCACCTCGAGGCCACGGCGAGACATCGGAACACCGTCCGTCTCATCCAACTTCGGGATTGGCGAATCGTACTATTGGAGCTCCGTATCGCGTTGATCAACGCAGATCTGTCTCGGTCCCGTCTCATGATCCTTTCGAGGTATCTGATTCACTGGATAATATTCATTCTCCTTATCATTTGCACAACTCCGATCATCCTGGTCTTGTGTTGGTCTCTGAACCTTTAGATGGCAACAACTATAATGTTTGGGTTATTGCTATGACGACGAGTCTAGAGGCTAAGAACAAGATAGGTTTTCTTGATGGATCGATTGCAAAACCTGATGAATATGATCCGTATCACAAAATCTGGTGTCGTTGTAATTCTATGGTGAAGTCTTGGTTGATGAATAGCGTTACTAAGAAGATCTATTCAAGTATCCTCTATATCAAGCATGCTTTTGATATTTGGAAGGATCTTCACATGCGTTTTCATAAGTTAAACCTGCCTCGCCTCTACAAGCTTCGACATCAGCTTCACTCTCTACATCAAGGCAGCTTGGATCTGTCTTCTTATCACACTCAAACTCAAACTCTGTGGGAAGAGCTTTCCAGCATCTAGCTCACTCCCCATACTGTTGAAGATCTTCTTGCAGAGAAAGAGACTAATCGTGTGATTGATTTTCTGATGGGACTTAATGAGAACTATGAGAGTATTCGGAGCCGCATCCTCATGAAGAAGACTTTACCATCTCTTTCTGAGATTAACAATCTCCTGGATCAAGAAGACAGTCAGAGGTCTGTGCATCTTCCAGTGTCTACTGACATTACTTCTGCAGCCTTTCAGGTCTCACAGTCTTCTCAGGGTACTGACAAGTCTTCTCAGTCTTCTCAGGGTGCTGGAGTTTCTTCTTTTCCGAGGAAAGATAGGCCATATTGTACCTTCTGTGGGAAAGTTGGTCATGTGGTGGATAGGTGTTACAAGAAACATGGTTATCCTACCAGTTTCAAGCCTAATCAGAGATCTGAGAAGCCTGCTTCTTCTCTTGTTGTTAATGTTGCTATTGATGAGTCTTCTCCTGATCTCACTAATGCTGTTAATGATCTGTCACCTGCTCAGGTTCAACAGTTGATGTCTTTCCTCACTACCAAGCTTCAGCCTCCTAGCTCCACTCCCACTCCAGAAGTTCACTCTGTCTCAGCATCTTCCTCTATTCCTTATTCTTCCACCATTGGTCCAATGTCCGGTACATATCATCCCTCTATCCTTTGTTCTTTTACTGGCATTGATAGACCGTATGTCTGTTCTCTTGATGGTAATATTCCTGCCATCTCTGCTTGGGTTATTGATACTGGCGCCACTAATCACATTTCCCATGAACAATCTTCCTTTCTTTCTTTCAAACCTATTCAAAACACTGTCAATCTTCCTAATGGTATCTTTGTGATCATTGTTGGTATAGGTACAATTCACTTGGGTAGAAATTTGATTCTTCATGATGTCCTTTGTATACCTCAGTTCAAATTCAACCTCCTGAGTGTTAGTGCCTTAACCAATAGTATGGGTTGTCGTGTCTGGTTTGACAGAATCTCTTGTGAAATACAGGATCCTACTCAGGGATTAATGATTGGAACGGGTAGACAAGTGGCTAACCTCTACTTCTTGGACATAGAGTCTTTATCCTGTCAAGGTACCTCTCTTTCGGTTGTTGCTGCATCAGTTTCTAGTCCTGAGTTATGGCACCAACGTCTAGGTCATCCCTCTATGTCTAAACTCCAACCCATGCAGTCTTTATTGTCTTTAGAAAAAGTAAAAATTGATACAAACCATCATTGTAAGGTTTGTCATCTCTCTAAACAAAAACATCTTCCTTTTGTTTCTAAGAATAAAATCAGTGAGAATCCTTTTGACTTGGTGCACATTGATACTTGGGGTCCATTTTCTGTTCCCACTCATGATGGCTTTAGATACTTCTTAACTATAGTTGATGACTGTTCTAGAGTCACTTGGGTATATCTTCTTAAGAACAAATCTGATGTCCTTCAAGTTTTTCCCACCTATGTCAATATGATAAAAACTCAATTTCAAAGGAAAATTAAAGGGGTTAGGTCTGGCAATGCTCCAGAGCTTAATTTCACTTCCTTTTATCAGTCTAAAGGCATTGTGCCATATCATTCATGCCCTGAAACCCCCCAACAAAACTCAGTGGTTGAAAGAAAACACCAGCATCTTCTTAATGTTGCTAGGTCTCTTTTCTTTCAATCCCAAATTCCCCTTCCTTATTGGGGTGACTGTATTCTCACTGCAGTTCACCTTATTAATAGGACTCCTGCTCCTATTTTACAAGATAAAAGTCCTTTTGAAGTTTTAACAAAGAAAATACCAGATTATTCAGAACTTAAAGTTGCATTTGCTATGCTTCTACATCCCCTAAAAACAGACATAAATTTGATCCCCGAGCTCGTGCTTGTGCCTTCCTTGGTTATCCCAATGGATACAAAGGCTATAAGCTTCTTGATATTGAATCTAATACCATCATTATTTCTAGACATGTGGTATTTCATGAAGAGCTTTTCCCTTTTGTTGGAGCTGAATTATCTCAGGATTCTCAATTCTATTTTCCTGATCAGTCTTCTTCTCTTCCTGTGGATCGTCAATTATCTGCTGAAGAGCCTTCTGCTTCTTCGTCTTCTGTAGAGATTCAACCTTCTGTTGATCCTATTAATGGTGTCCCTGAACCTTCTGTTCAAACATCCCACAGGAAGCCCAAACAGCCTGCTTACCTTCAAGATTACTACTGTCATTCAGTAGGGTCTTCAACCATACATGAAATCTCTAAGTTTCTTTCTTATGACAAAATCAATCCTCTTTATCTCTCCTTTTTGGTCTCCATTGACAAAGAAAAAGAACCCTCATCCTATGCTGAGGCAAAGCAAATTCTGGTTTGGTGTGGAGCCATGGATGATGAAGTTGATGCATTGGAAGAAACTGAAACTTGGACCATTTGTACCTTACCTCCTGATAAGACTCCAATTGGTTGCAAATGGGTGTTTAAGGTCAAGTTTAATTCAGATGGTTCTGTTGAAAGGTATAAAGCTAGGTTGGTAGCTAAAGGGTACACTCAGAAAGAAGGCATTGACTACAATGAAACTTTCTCCCCAGTGGTCAAATTAACCACAGTTAAATTGGTCTTGGCTTTATCAGCCATATACAATTTATCTCTTACACAGCTTGATATTTCTAATGCATTCCTAAATTGTGATTTAGATGAGGAGATCTATATGAAATTACCTCCTGGTTATGCTGATAAAGAAGGTATTTCTCTGCCTCCTAATGCCGTGTGTAAGCTTCAGAAATCTTTGTATGGCCTCAAGCAAGATTCTCGTCAATGGTTTCTCAAATTCTCTTCAACTTTGATTACTCTGGGGTTCATTGCGTCATATGCAGATCATACTTGTTTTCTCAAGATCACTGACACTCTTTTCTTATGTGTGTTAGTGTATGTTGATGACATTATTATTGCCAGCAATAATGATTCTGAGGTGGACATTTTAAAGACTCAACTCAAGTCTTACTTCAAACTGAGGGATCTTGGACCATTGAAATACTTTCTTGGCTTGGAGATTGCCAGATCCTCTGAGGGTATTCACATTTGTCAACGTAAGTATGCTCTTGATCTCCTTGATGAGACTGGTTTACTTGGCTGTAAACCCTCTAGTATTCCAATGGATCCTCATGTGAAATTTTCAAAAGACACTGGTGGTGACCTTATTGATGCTGAATCTTATCGCCGTCTCATTGGTCGCTTAATGTACTTGCAAATCACACGTCCTGACATTACTTTTGCTTTCAACAAGCTTAGTCAATATTCTCAGGCTCCTCGCAAGGCACATCAGCAGGCCATTTACAAGATTCTGCACTACATCAAAGGCACTCTTGGCCAGGGACTCTTTTACTCATCCAAGTCAGAATTGCAACTTCAAATGTTTGCTGATGCAGATTATGACTCCTGTCAAGATACCAGACGCTCTACTTCAGGCTTCTGTTTATTTCTTGGCACTTCTCTCATTTCTTGGAGATCTAAAAAGCAACCAGTGGTTTCTAAGAGTTCTGCAGAGGCTGAGTATCGCAGTCTTTCCTCTTCCACTGATGAGTTGATGTGGATCACACATTTTCTTGAAGAGTTGAAGGTACCTCTTGCAAAGCCTACTCTCCTCTTCTGTGACAATACTGCTGCCATCCACATTGCTAACAACCATGTATTCCATGAGCGCACCAAACACTTGGAGAAAGACTGCCACAGTGTTCGTGAAAGGTTAGTTGCAGGTTTGTTTCAATTATTTCATGTTCGTTCTGGTTTGCAGCTCGCTGATCCTTTCACCAAACCCTTATACCCTGCACCATTTCATCGACTGTTTGGCAAGATGGGTCTCCGGAATATCTTCGTCCCATCTTGAAGGGGCATATTAGTGTATATAGTCTTAATTCATTGTACACTGGTATTTTGTATAAACCAGTTATAGTTAATGTTGGTTTAATTCGGTTTAATGGCTATGGTTTAGGCCTCTTACAATTGTATATAAACCCCCAATTGTATCTTTTGATTAATTAATGAGAATGAGATTATTTTGGTAATATTTTCTTTATTACAAACAGCTGTTAGTTGTCGCTCTCATCTTTTTGAAAGATTTCGTGTATACATATGAACGCGTAGATGCATTACATAGATCAGATACACATATTTCTTATGTGTAGCATTCTATTTTGAGACTACATAGACATAATTGAATGTATAGATAATAGATGCATCGCACTACCAGAATATTCTGTGTACTTCCTTTACAAGTTTTATTATTTTCCAAATGTTGTTAAGTGAAATAAATTAAAACCATAGAAAACAAACAAATTCTACTATAAATACCACCCTCCTGCTTTCACAATTTCACAGTTCTCTAACCTCTTTATTTTCTTTTTTCTTCGTCTCAATAACTTATACCAAATTCCTTACTCTAACTACTCAGCAATGCCTTGGTCAGGTCCTGCTCTTCTCTTCGTCAGGAGATCCGCAGAGATTGGCTCATTAAGTAAAGGATCAACTGATGGTACGTTAAAATTACCATTTTAATTTTCATCATTATTCCTCGGACATAAAATATATGTTTTACTTTTTCTTTTCTTTTGGGGTTTCGTAGTTAAAATAGCTGTGAGGAATGGAGAAGCTAGGATTGTTATCTTGGCCCGTGACGCACCCCAACACTTGAGAAATGAGATATCTACACTGTGCGGTCCAAATTATATCTCCATATATGAAGTGCCAAATAGTGTTGAGTTAGGCATCGCTGCGACGATTAATGGCGGTCCTACACCCATTTGTGCACTTGTGGCTCCCGATCAAGATGATGAACTTCAGGACCTGATCAGATCATGGGAAGTCATCCTCCGTGCGATTTGGTCGCTTCATTTTTACTTGGCTGGTTACAACCCTTAAAAGGATATATTGGGTGCTTTTTCTATTATGAAGCTACATTAGATTATAAATAATCGAAGCATCTGTCATGGCCGGGTGGATTTGGGTTTAGGCGTTTTAATATTTTATCTGAAGATCATTACATATTTTATCCTGATGAATCGAGTAAAGCTTTTGATATTTATAGGTGTTTTTCTTACTGTTCACCTTAAAAAGAAAATAATATTGATCAAGCTCATAAAAAAAATTGAATTAAGTGCATCAATACTCATATAGTACCATTATCATTCTTAAGAATAGCAGTTGAAAAGATTGAGGCATAGATTACAAAATGTAGTCAACTTGTTGAATAGCACGAGATTATTTAGATTATTTAGATTGTATTGGGTGGGCTGGGTTCCATTTTGTTGGGCCGAATGAGCGATTATTTCGTATTAAAAATTTTCTATCATTTTTTTCTTTTTCTGTTGTTATATTTATATTTTTTAAACGGTGAAATTCTTGAAATTCGTTTTTTTCACTCTGAACATTTTTAAATATGACACATGGTCTGTAATACTAGGCTAATTGATTTTTTGCTTTTCCGCCAAGTCTATAATAAATAGGCTAATAGTGATCCTTTCTCTCTCTCTCTCTCTTTCCCTTGTCTTTGTCTTCTTCTACCTTTTCATCCATAGCTTTTTTGGAGCAAAAAACAGAGAGTTTCTGAAAGCGTCCTTTTAATTTTACATATATTTAATTTTAACTCCAAATTTTTTATTCTTTAGTTTAAGCTATTCTAATTTTGACCAATGCTATTTTCATGACTACTTAATCAACCCCAAACTCCATTATATCTAAAGTCTCAACCCTTTCATCAGTTCTCAGCGGTGACAATATTACTAAGGAAGTTCTTATAAGCTCACACTTTAGATCTTTACCATTACACCGGAAAATTGTGACGGTCAAATGTATTTTTAAGCTGTTTCGAGCTAAACCTACCGTTTCAACATAGTTATGAGTTATGGGTTTGTGAGAATCCTCACATGTTTTCTTTACAGAAAAAAATAATAAACAACAAACAAACACAAAAAGCCTCCTTATGCTGTGGATTTGAAATAGTCTCTTGCAACAAAATGTCTTGTGAGTTTAAGAACTTGTGTACAACAAAGTCAAGTGAAGAGCTCAAAATTGTGATAATCTCAAATGTCTTTCTTGTTGCAGAGACCAAACCACATTATGTAAGAGAAGCCAAGTTTCATCTTGAAATTCAACTACTCACCTTGGCAACTTTTCTCTACTTGGTTTGGCCTGACAAGGGGCACTGCATCTCTGTCCAACTTATCGGAACCATTGTTTCGCCTGCACAATCACCAGGCCATATAAACTTTTTGATTACTCGAAAGGAAATACATTTCATAACATATAACTGCCAAAAGAAGCACATGCATCTACATTTTACCATACTCCAGTTCCATGATGAAAATGATTGATACTCATAATTCCAAAATGATAACTACAAGTTAAAAATGTATTACACTTTGGTGAAGGATATGTGACAAATCAGCTATAGAAAAAATATGTAGTTACATGACTCTCTGCTGAGACCACACCAAGATCATTCTTAACAGTTGACAAATAGTCAGCCTGTGCATCACCAAGAGACAGCTTTACGAGTCCAAGTTAAGGCAACTTCAGATATTATCACCCAAAACATCATATACTGTATTATCATAGACTACACCTACGCTACATCGGGTTAAACTATATAACAAGATATGTGAGTGAAAAGAGAAAATGGATGGCATAATGTAACAAATTAATCTTAGAAACGTCTTTCATCTATAAGCAATGTTAAGCACTGTAAAAAAACCTTAGACGATAAGTGTGAAACATAAAGCAAAATGATACCACCACTAGCTCTAACAATGTCACCAGCATTGAATGACTGATGCATGTCAACCTTATCAATCTCTGTCGCTCTTACATCGTGTTGCCTATGAAAGAGCAAACACAATTTAGATCGACACATGAAAATGAACAAACCTTGAATATGAACGACAAAGAAGCAGGAGAAATCAACTAATTAAGTCAGCAAAAACGGCCTTTGGACCAATACACAAGATATCAACAGCAGCCATCCGAGCCATAACTTTAGTCACCTATCAAGAATAACAGAGATTTAGGGATCAAAGTACCTCTTTATAAGTATGGGCATCAATGAATCAAATGGAGATAAGAGCAGGACTCACTCTTGCTATGACAACAGAACCAGTCTCCGGAATAGGACCATGTGCCTTGTGACCCGTAACTTCCACAATAGCTCTCTGCTTACCTTTTTTATAATCCAGCCACAAAAAAAATGAGCTAGTAAAGAGCAATTTCATTTGCATTGACTAAAAACACATCCCACAAGTATATAATTCAAAGAAACTAGCGAATTACACAACCGATTTTCAATTACAAATAGAAACTACACAATCCAACGATTTTTCCCAAAGGATTCAGCTAGCCATATCAATGTAACAGATGAACCAATCTGTTGGAACAAAGGCGAACCTGGTCAAGTGACTCGGGAAGAGGAGAAACAATCCGACGAGTTCCTGTGAGGGAACCGTAGATGGTTATAACGTTGACGTAAGCTCCTTTTCCTTTCCGGCTCTAAGCTCAGTAACTTTCCCGATTACATCTCCCGGCGTTACTAGCTCCGTCGTCATAATTTCAAAAATTCCGATTTCGGAGTGTTAAACAAAACCCTAGTAAACTGGGGTTATTTTATCGAGATATTTAACTAGGAAAACATAAAGTTTCGAAAACCGACCCTTTTACTTTCTATAAATTCAATTTGACCCTAAATGTTCCGAACTGTGGCTTTCATAACCTTTCTGTTTTTTTCTCCAAAAAAGGTGTGGATCAAAAGGTAGAAGAAGACAAAGACAAGTGAAAGAGAGAGAGAAAGGATTACTATTGGGAAAAATGCCAATTAAATGCTGAACTTTTTCATTACGTCGTTTTTAATCTTCAACTTTGTCTGAAACGATTTAAATGCTAAACTTTTTTTGACTTTCCATTTAAATGCCAAACTTTTTTTGACTTTGCCATTTAAGACCCGACGTTAAGTCGATTAACGGAACAATTAAAAGCCGATTAAATGCTGTTAACAGCTCCTCTTAAATTAAAACGATGCCGTTTTAATACACATAAACGACGTCGTTTTTTAAATTTACAAAACCCCAATCAAACTCATTTGCCCTAAATCGAAAAATCTCCAAACCTATAACCCTAAAAATCGAAAGCTTCAGATTTCTTTCATTCTCTTCGGGGACTTACTCATTCTCTTTTGGATTCATTCTTGTGATTCTCTCAACTTGTTATAATGAGTTCAAGTTCTATAACATCGAACGTTGTCGGAGTCCGTGGTGTGCCGTCGAAGTGTAATCAATTTCTAGGGTTATGAATTTGGGGATTTTTTGATTTGGGGCAAATGAAATCGAATTGGGTTTTGTAAATTGAGAAAACGACGTCGTTGATGTATGTTAGAAACAACATTGTTTTAATTCAATCTAGCTGTTAACGGCATTTAATCGGCGTTTAATTACTCCGTTAATTGACTTAACGTCGGGTCTTAAATGGCAAAGTCAAACAAAGTTTGGCATTTAAATGGAAAGTCAAAGAAAGTTCAACATTTAAATCGTTTCAGGAAAAGTTAGGGATTAAAAACGACGTAATGAAAAAGTTCAGCATTTAATTTGCATTTTTCCCGATTACTATTACTCTATTAGCCTATTATTTACATAGACTTGGCGGACAAGAAAAAAATCAATTAGCCTATTATGACAAATGTTCAGAGTAAAAAACAAACGAATTTCAAGAATTTCACCGTTAAAAAAATATAAATATAACAAAAGAAACCAATCCATTGATACAAAAATTTGAAAACTATTTAAATTTAACTAGATCATTAGAAAGGTTTTTTTTTTAAAAAAAAAAAAGACTTATTAGTTTCATGAAATCAAATTAATAACAACGAAAATAGCAATGAAAATTTCAGATGATTCTCAAAGGCCCAGCCCAATAAAATTAACACCTCTGCTCTCACTATATAAATTTCCAGTTCGTTAGACATTTGGGAGTATTCTGACAACTTTCTTTTCACAGACAAACACCAAAAAAAAACGAAAATGGTGAAATTGGTATCTGAAGCTGCAAAAGTGCGATCACTCGAGATTCTTGCCTCAGCTCGTGCCTTGGGATCTGTGTTGAAAGGTAAAGAGGAGTTGACCAAAGCCATGGCGAAAACCAATCATCCGATTCTTCTCGTGCTTGCCGGTGATGCGGATCCGCCGAGTCTCCTCCGTGAGTTTGAGGACGCCGCCGTTGCTCTAGGTATTCCGGTCGTCTATGTCGCCTCCAGGAACGACATCAAAGAAGCCACCGGAGTTCGTTCGCTCATGGCCTGCGTCGTCCCCTTCGACGGCCAAGAGGTTCTTCGTATCGATGAACTCGTCGCCATGGGTTAGCGTTTCTCTTACTATCGTTTTAAAAAAACTCTGTTATGATGGATGATGATGTTAGATCTGGATTATCTTGGGATCTGTAATAATTTGGCTTTGATTTTGGATGATTTTGCATTTGGATTATTGCTTCTCTCTCTCTTTTGCTTCCCTGTTTGCTTCGTTCTTCTCCGTGACCACCTATAGACTGTTGCTTCTCTGATTTTGATTTTTTTTAGCATGTGTTTGTGATTTTGATCTCAGTTTCGAATTTGTTTTTCGATTTTTGGTTTTTGACTGTTCTACGTAGATGATTTACAGGCGATATACTTTTTTTTTTTTTTTGGTATGGTTTACAGGCGACATACAGTTATATATATATATATGTGTATATAAGTAGAAATGATTAAACCGGATAATAACCAACAAGGAAATCACAATTGTACTATCAAATCTTTTTAGGCTTAATCAGCGTCTAATTAATGATATTTATCATTCGTGTGGTGTGACTATATATATAATATAGGCCTGACCGTTGTATGTTGTTGCTAGGGGAGCATATAACAAACATTCTCTCCTTCCTCTGACAGTTTGTGGGGCCCATATACTCTTGCTTTTGAAATAATTTGTTATTCAACTACTAATTCTATATAGTTCTAGAAAACGTATACTAGCTAAATTAGACAACGTAAATTCATGTAATTTTCGTAATACACTATCCAATAATATTAGGATGTTTCATTGTCGTCGGTTACCATTATTTTATCAGTTTTGATACATACTACTATACATAAATTATCTAAATTGTTAGGGATAACAAAAACAAATAATCTAAATTTATTAGGTTACTTTATAAAAAGTTCAGGTAGAGAATAACCTTAATATATTATATTTATTATAAAAAGAAACTCAGTACTCGTACAACATGAACATGTCATGCGTAGACAAGCTATTATTATTACAATTTACATAAATTATCTCTTTCCAATATACTATATAGTATAATCCTTGTCTCGCAATCAATATAGTATAAATACATTAATTGTTTGCTTATCTATGGTTTGGTTTGTTATCTAATAATTTACATATTTCGTTTCTAATGGATTGCGCTTCTTCATTTGTTGGATTCGTAAAAGATGATTTTGTAACTGAAAATTTTGTTTCGCTCGCATGAAGCCATTGGGCCCATTTTTCGTTTGGGACCAGTTAAACTGTCAACTGGCCTGCCAATCCGGTCCGGCTTAATCAGATTCTCAATCAATGACCCGAATAAAACCGTCATAAACCGTCTGATAGCTGTGGACCAATCGGTCAAACCCAAGCTCTGCTTTTGGCTATATAATAAAACCGTTGAATTTGTTGATTTTTTTTTTTAATTTGTACATATATTAGTGGATATAATTCTGATGATTTGCTACGCATTGGTGGATGATTGGTTGATATCTATTTTTTTGGGGCCACAACTATATATAGACCATATATAGTTCAACTTGTATCAATTATTTTCATCCGTTTTTTTAATGCTCTCTTTGGTTAAAATATTTATACAAAATGCAACAGCCTTTTTTCCCCCACATTTTAGTCGACCCTAGTAACAAAGATGACATCGGTTGATAGCTAATTCTTTTCTTTCGGGCCACAACTTTATATAGACCATAGTTCAAGTTAGACAATTATAAACTCAATTATTTTCTTCCCTTTTTTTATTGCTCTTTGGTTAAAATATTTATACAAAATGTAACTGTTTTTTCATCGAAAATCAAGAACTTGATAGGAACAACGAATTAGAATAAATACCTTACTTGTATATATTTATGATCAAGTAGGTTAATACTGGAAAGCAACCTTCACCGAAACTAGTCTAGTTCCAAATTAGTTTAAGCTAATGGCAGTGATGGCACATTGGTGGTGTGAAAATCCATATGAGGAAACATTCTTAGTATAGCATGAATCGAACCAAAAAAAAAAAAAAAAGTACTAATTGGATCAAAATAATATGGGCTTCTAAACATTTAAGCAATGGCTTTTATATGACCTATGAACTGCTTGGGAGTTCTGCTTCGAGTTCTACATATAACGGGAGCCGAAGTAGCCCTCTCATTAACCGCTAGTCTTTTTGTCCAATCCGGTTAGCTTTATCTAATTCGACAATAGTGAGTGTTTCATGGATAACAACAATAAACATGTATAAAAAAAAATACATTGTAAAGAGTTATCTATTTCCGAAAATAATGAACATTCCTTGTTACATGCACAAAATTTGGGAAATAATTGTTTTACATTGTATCAATCAAGAAGATGAAATTAAAAAATGGGGAAATTGGTTAACTAAAACTAATCCTATTCAACAAAAGAAAACTAGAACTAATCCTAGCAAATTTACATCCAGACGCTCGACAACAATTTATTCAATCTCGTAAGTAACACACATTGACGATGATATGTTTTGCATACCTTGTAGCTTGTAACACCTTTAAACCGACTTTATCAAAATATATTAGGTTAGGAAAGACAAGGAAATTTTTACATAATTACTTAATTAGTAACTTGCTTACATAAGTATTTAACCAAACCGTGTAAATAATCTATTGTTTTAGGCTTTTAGCAAAATGGGTGAGCGGGACATGGAGGTGTAAAAGGGTTCCTATCAACTTGTTCTGACCTAGGATAATAAGCTTGTGGATCGCTATTTATAGTTCATGATATAAATTTACAATCGCTGTCTTAGCTATGAGGCCATCGTTGGTTCAAAATATAGTCTATTTTGAAAACGAACATTGTTTATATTTTTGGCTGCCTCCTCCTATATAGTCGACTCAGCAGCCTTGAAAATATTCTTCGAACTATAAATAGCGATCCACAAGCTTATTATCAGCCAAAACTTGTTCTTGACTCCAAAAGCCTTCGGGTGTTATAACATCGATTGTAAATTTGTAATAGATTGTGGTGTGACTCCGCAACCTTCCATCCGGTTTGCTTTGATTTGAGCTTTTTGTTTGCTTGAATTAATAATACAAGTATCAATTAAACGAAGGATTAAAAAGCTATAAGTCAGAAAATATCACTGAAAGAGATATACGGCTCAGTCGTGCAAAGTAAAAAGTAAGCAACAAAAAGCACAAAAACCATTAAAATAACAACCTAAACAAACTAGTTGAATCTATTTCTTCTCCATCGAATCCGACTCGTATCTTGGCTCAAAAATCCAGGACACCTAACTAAGCTAGGAACGTAGTTGCAAGAAAAAGGCCAATAACGTCCCATAATACCTGCTTCGATCGTTTGGAAATCGTTCTTGCCGTCGTCGATGACTGCTTTAATAGATATTTTGTTATGCATGTCAATAGAAGTTATGATGAGCCTATTGCTTTTGTCAAAAAAATAATGTGTTGGAGAGTGACATAAAGGTGGATATAATAGCGGAAATTGTGGTATACCCACAACCATCAACTTGCTCCAAGAGAGCCGCCAATGTTTCACCCATATGCATATCTTCCTTGTTTTGTGACATTGCTCTAATACTGAAAGCCGATCTCCTTTGAATATCTCCAGTGCAATAGGATTCAACTTATCATACCTGAATGGTAGGTGATCAATGGGTTGAAATCTTTCTTTAGAAAAATCAAAGCTTTGTATGAACGCCGTATGGTCTTCCTGAAGACCGATCCAATAAGGAGTTCCTCTCAAAGAGAGTATAGACAACGGTGTTTTAAGGACCCAATCAAAACTGATCATATCTATAACCTTCCATGTCTTAGTTGCGAGTTGGTAGACCTCAACTCTTGGAGGTCTATTTCTTGAATTACTAGCACATCGAAACCTTAATATCCTGTAATCACAATGGCTGAGGTATCCAAGGCTATAAGCATCATCATATTCGTGAAAGTCGCTGCCGCATTTGACCCATCTCGTTTCTTTTAATAACGGGTTCCAAACCAAAAGCTGGTTGTCCATGACACACAACAACAGACCGTCGCAATGCACAATCTTGTACACCCTAATAGGTCCGTCTGGACGAATTCTTCTAAGGGTAAGGTTTTCGGTCTTCAAAGACAGAGGATCAACCACGTTTTTCTGCTCCTCAATGCTCACGGAAGAAAGATTATATTCACCATGTATGATTATCAACCGATGTTCACCGCTATATCTGTCTGTACGAGACAAGTTCTTCTGGAGGAGTCTCTCCTCCAAAATCAGACTGTTCCAGAGCTTGCATACAGATCTGAACCTTGCAAGAGATCTATATGGAACTCTACAGAGGATTTCTTCTTCCAAATCAGATGGTAGCCTCACCGGCATTGTCTTTGTAACCTGATTGTCAAAACAGAGAGATGATTCATAATCGATGTTCATACCATTCTATAAGAAGACTGGAAACTTTGGGACAATATACGAAAGAAAAAACAAATAGACGAGGCACAACTCAAAACAGAGCATGGCCAACGAAATCCAAAAAAAACAAAAACAGAGTACGAGAACTTGAAAAACGGATACCAAAAAAAAACTTCAGCAAAATCTCAAATAATGTTTAGAAACATCTGGTCTTTCTTTCTTCACACGAAATCTCAAAAGTACCTAAGATAACAACATACCAGTTTCGCAAAATTCAAAGTTTAGGAACCAACCTTTTCAAAGTCGAAGTCTCTCAGATCGGATCAGATGCAGTACAATTTGTCTTCTTCCCATCTCTTAACTCTTGTCCTTTTTCTTTTTATGTCTCTTTTTCTCCGGAATTAGGGTTTTTTTTTTAATACGAAATAATTGCTCATTCGGCCCAACAAAATGGAACCCAGCCCACTTAATACAAATCTAAATAATCTATTCGAGTTATCAGCTAATTTATTAAGACGAAGAGCCTTTTAGTTTATACGGTATACCATTGTAATGTTGGTTTTAACCTGTTTTGGGCCACAGTGATGGGCTTCTAAATATGGGCTTTTATATGAACTAAAAGGGAAGAAATTTTGCTTCGAGTTCAATAGACAATGTAGTCGAAGAAGGCTGTGATAAAGTAAACGTCTCATTGTGCACAAGCGTTGTAAAGGGTGGTCAGTCCAAGGCTATGGTGTAAACTCACACATAACTTAGGACTCTGGTTTTTCGATTCCCGCTTGGATGGAGAGTTGGGGCAGGGTTTCTTCAGGACTTTACCAGGCTTCCGTTTGGCTTATTTACCTTGTTTTCTATTGTTCAGCTATGTAGTAGCCCTCCGGGATTAGCCAAACACTTCGTTGATCCGGATACCTAGTGCTAACTCTACAAAAGACTTCACATTATACCGGTATTCTCTTTATTAGTGTCAAGTGTCGATAATTGGGTGTCTTATCCAAATATACTAATACTATATATGGTTGGTTAATCTAACAATCTTTGATAAATTAATGTCAAATTTTTAAATAGCACAATTCAAATGAAACCCCACGTGAAACGCACATGCATGGCACATCGTCATTTGGGATCATTAATTAATGACGGTTTTAAATTAAAACCAAAGTCGTAATTAACCGAAAACACGGCTCGTTTTGTTAGTTGCAAATCAACTAGAGTAGTCCACACATCATTTTCAAACGAGTCTGTTACTTTTCCATCGACGTCTACACAATGAGGAAAAAAACATAAATAATAATCCAACGGAATGCTTTTGATGCAAAACATAAAATTAATTGTGAAAAACGGTAGATTTGAATCGTAATGAGTAGAGACCGTAATCATCATATGTTTTCTTGTAGAAGCATCTTTTAACAAGTTTTAACTGATTATTACATTTGTCATTTCAAAATATCTTTTCAATAAAAACTGATACATATCATTTTTTACAAAACAAAATCGATTTCTTTGTTAGAATATCATGTTTCAAATAAAGTGATTTGTATCTTATTTTCTCCTAGTTTCGGTAAAACTCTCCTAATGGGTGGTAGGTCAGGTGGCACTCAGTAATACAAAGTATACAATGATACGTGGCAAATCCTAACCATGTGTTCTCAACTCCCGCAAATTAATTCCGGGTCGAACGGACCGGAAAATCAGTTCATCGCTTTAACCTCCGAATTTTCAGACAAAAACAAATAAATAGCTTTCCTTTTGTAACTACCACGTTTCTACTAAAGTATGTAGCTAGGAAGTTAAAAAGCAGACTAAATTACCCACTACGATTCGTCAAATAACTTCTTGTTATTATATGTTAAATTACAAAGAAAAAAAGAAGAGAAAATTATGTATGTATATACGTAATTGCATCCCAAAAAACGTTTTATAAAGTTTTAAAAGGTAACAATTTGAATAATTCACGGGAGAGAAAAAGGTGATTATAAAGTGTTGATATAATAAGAGTGAGTCCTCTTAATTTATTAAGCTTTAACACGTAAGGGCGTAAGGCATCCCATATTAAATGTGATAGTGCTAATACGACCACTCAAAATGTGTCACGTACAAACATAGACAACAACTTTACTAACCAGGGAACACACACAAATGTACCTCTGTAGATATCTTAATTTTTCTCAATGTGTATATTTGTTATCTGAAAAAAAAAAAAAAAAAAAAAAAAAAAAAAAAACTTTTTTTCCGCTAAACATACCACATTATATTAATACTCGAAAACAAATATATTGTTTCTCCAAATCCACTATTGGTTGTAACCAAAGTGGTGAACTACAATCTAAGAAAGCAAAGTACAAATCACATGAAGATGCAAATTTCGCAATTGCATATGCACATTTATTTCCATATCTTCCTCTAAACCTAAAAACGTATCTCTAAATTTATACACATATGTTTAGAGAAGTTTTGAAAAATTGTAAGAAAATAACATATCAAAATACGTATCGCAGAATTGAATAATACCTAATAATAATATACATATGGCTTATACATTCATGCGTGGAAGAGAATCTTAAAGAGGAGTTAATACTGTTTAAGAATGATGGTAAATAAAGACTGAATCGGTCCAAAACATTTGATAGATTTTGTGAGTTACCCAGACTTAAACCTTAACTCATATAAATACATATCTTTTCCTTTACAGGGGACAACACGCCAAAACTGAAATCTCGAGGAAACAAATCAACATTTAATAATGTTTTTTTCTTCTCCTTCATGGCAAAAAAAAAAATTTCCTTACACAAACGAATAATATCTCGCCGACAAATTTCATTCAATAACATTGACTTTCTCGTTACCTCCTTTCTTTTCAAACTCACTCAAATTTTTTTCCTAAAGAGTAAAGAAACTTCTCTCCTGTCTTGTCTCCTCTATCTCTCTCTCTCAAAGCTAATAAATACAACATTTGCATCTAACGTTTCTCTAGCACAAAAATATGCACTCGAGCTGTTTATTATCTCTCACCATCCTCGCCGTCTTCACCGTCTCTTTCGCTGGCGGCGAGAGATTCAAAGAAGCTCCAAAGTTTTTCAACTCCCCGGAGTGTCTAACTATCGAAAACGACGACGATTTCGTTTGTTCAGACAAAGCCATCCACGTGGCAATGACCTTAGACGCGGCTTACCTCCGTGGCTCAATGGCCGTGATTCTCTCCGTCCTCCAACACTCTTCTTGTCCTCAAAACATTGTTTTCCACTTCGTCACTTCAAAACAAACCCACCGACTACAAAACTACGTCGTTTCTTCTTTCCCCTACTTGAAATTCCGGATATACCCTTACGACGTAGCCGCCATCTCCGGCCTCATCTCAACCTCCATCCGCTCAGCCCTCGACTCTCCGCTAAACTACGCAAGAAACTACCTCGCCGACATTCTCCCCACATGCCTCTCACGTGTCGTTTACCTTGACTCAGATCTCATACTCGTCGACGACATCTCCAAGCTCTTCTCGACTCACATCCCTACCGACGTCGTTTTAGCCGCGCCTGAGTACTGCAACGCAAACTTCACCACTTACTTTACTCCGACGTTCTGGTCAAACCCTTCTCTCTCCATCACACTCTCCATCAACCGCCGTCGTCCACCGTGTTACTTTAACACCGGAGTGATGGTTATCGAGCTAAAGAAATGGCGCGAAGGAGATTATACGAGGAAGATCATAGAGTGGATGGAGTTACAAAAACGAATAAGAATCTACGAGTTAGGTTCTTTACCACCGTTTTTACTTGTCTTCGCCGGAAACATAGCTCCGGTAGATCACCGGTGGAACCAACATGGTTTAGGAGGAGACAATTTCAGAGGACTGTGTCGAGATTTGCATCCAGGTCCAGTGAGTTTGTTGCATTGGAGTGGGAAAGGGAAGCCATGGGTAAGGTTAGACGATGGTCGACCTTGCCCGCTCGATGCACTTTGGGTTCCATATGATTTGTTAGAGTCACGGTTCGACCTTATCGAGAGTTAAATTTTAGATGTTAGTTTTTTTTTTTTTTTTTGAGGGAAGAAGTATATTTTTGACTGGATGTGTAATATAGGAAGATGAATAAGATTTGAATAAAATGATAGGAGGGTAGGATAGTCGAATATGTAATTAGTTTGGTGATGGTAGTTACTTACTCTCGTAACGCATTGCCTACTTCTAGCATAATAAATTCGATACCTATAAGGTAATAATTGTGAATATATATCTACCGAATGTACTACGGCGAGTAATAACAAATAGATATACTAGAGCCTTTCTGTTTATGAATTTTTAATACAAAGTTTTTTGCTTTTACTGTTGAATTTAAATACATCATCTTCCATTGATTATAGTATGAAAATTTAATGTAGATTTTTGAGATTTTAGCAGACAATAGTCATCCACTTGGTTTTTTTTCCAAGTATATAAATCTTTTTTTTCCTCCATGCATACTTCTGTAGTTAAAGTTACATAATACCATCAGAAAATCGTCCATTAGTTAAATTATTTACAAAAATACACACTAATATGTAGGCTTCTAAAACATTATATTAAAAAATAAAAAGTAAGTTTGCTTAATCTAAATTTAGACTTATCACCGTGTTTGTGTTTTATTCATTCGGCTAAACAACTTATCAGATGCTAACAAATTAAATTAGAAACATCGTTAGGTTTGTTAACACATAAAATAATTAAAAGAAAATCAGAATAGGATGTGTATAAACGTTCAATTCTTACTAATCTTTCAAATGAAACGTTTCAATTCTAACTAATTCATAAGTATATATAATTATATAATTAGTGATTGTATGAGATTCTCTCTTCAAATTATTAGCCAAAGTTGTAAAGGACTCATCATCGATAATCTAATAGTAACATCATACAGTGATTTTTTTTTAGTTCGTGTGAATTGAGACTTTTATAGTTTATTTAATACTATATATTAAAACTATATAAGTCATGCAGAAAAAAACTTTAGTACAATTATAAATTATTGGATATGATTTGGCAGATATTGATTCTAAGGCCGATATTGTCATGGTAGTTGCAGTTTATTTGTTCGATTTCATAAATTTGAGCTGTCTAGTCAATAATACCATAATAGTTGATTTGATCATTGTACTTAATATTCATATAGTACAAATAATATCCAGTAATTTGGTTGTTTTTTCATTGCGTAAATGAGATAAACTTGCCGGCCAAGTATTACGAGGTTGTCTTGTAGTTAATTACACAGAAAAAGTCAATAAGTCAGCGCGTTGTCGACTACTTGATTAACCAAGGAAGCAACTACAAGTCTTAGTCTATATTTGAGTTCTATTTCTGTAACCCAATAATGTACAAAGGAATCTTAGGTTTGAATCGTCTAAT